TTTACTATCCTGCCTTTGATGCCTGTCTTGAATCCTGAGAATCTTGGAGACGTATCCTCGTGTCTCATATGTTCACTTCGCATCTATCTTGATGCAGCGCCACCTCTTAGGCGTTCGTGTAAGATACTTTTTATCATGCTTTCTAGGTCAGCTGTTATGGAAGTTTCCCATAACACGATTTTGTTTTGGATTTGGTCGGTTATTATCTGGGATTATATTTTTGATGACCTACCCGCTTCAGTTGCTTCCAACCCTCATGAAACACTTGCTGTTGTATCCGATTGGAGGATGCATTTACTCATCTGTAGACATTTCGGTCTTCGCCATAAGGTGCGGCCAGATCCCGGTGTCCCGATCCTCTTTCCCTCTCACCTCTGCTTTATGCATGTGTTGTTGGGTATTGGTTCCAAGATCCTTTTGTGGATGTGGTTGATTGTTCCTCTTCTCTTCTTCACTTGTCGTTTCAAACTCTGACGTGTGATTAATGGTTTGACAATGTGCTAAAAGAGATGCCAAGATGGCTTGTCCTATCATCCATAGGAGATAGTGATACCCCTGTCTTGTAGTTTCAATTGGCTGAAGTCCATCACTAAATCGATTATAAATTGTACATTGTATCTTGTGGCAAATATTGTTCCTGATCTCATATGTTTCATTTGTTCACGTATCTTTGTCACAACACTTTTTTGGAGTGTTTCTTACCTATCCACGAGCTTTGTCTTATGACACAAGACAGTGTTACTTAATATTGTTCTGTATCACTCTTTTGCTCCAGCTTCCTTGTGTATATCCTACAGTTGTTGCCTTTATAGGCTAGGGATTTGCACCCCACCACCCAAAGGTAGGATAAATGCATAGTGTGAGATTGGATAAGTTTTAAAATTTGTTAATTTTACATTAAATTGTATGTTTATATATTTATTCTAAGGGCATGCTATATGCCCACCTGTCAATCCCCTAATCGCAATTCCTTCAGCCTATTAAGCTGAAAAAGAAAATGAGTTTGCTGTGGAAATGTGTTCAGTGCTTGAAGGTCGACTGGCATGAAAAGCCTGCATGATTGTTGGGAGGTGACCATGGTAATGCTTGGTGTTTGGGTGGATTGGGTTTTTATAGAAGATGGAAACCTTAGTTTTAGCACGTTTCCACTTAAGATTGAAAGAAGAATGAGAAATACATAGTGTGTCAGTTAATCATTCCCCAGATTGGGTAAGGGAGTCTAGGCGTGGAAAAATTCAGTCAGTCAAACAGATCTTTGCTTATTAATGTAAATCAATCTTGCAGTTAACCAAATTATCTGTGATGTAGGAGTAGCCTAGAGCGTCACAGGAAACAAGATTTTACTTCCTGATTTAAAATAATTCTTTGACAATTGAGTAAAAGTTAATTAATGCAGTTATTTCTGAATCTCTTTTGGTGAATACTTCTTGCAACCGAGAATAGATATTTCCATGACAAAACGTGTGGTTTGGCTAGTTCATGTTGATTAGTGTTGTTTCTTTCAAGTGTCTGGTCACTGAAGTATGTTGTTTAAGGTTGTTTCTTGTGAGTGTTCATAGTAAAACTTTTTCTATAAGCTTAAAAGCATGCAGTCCAGATATGGTTTAAGTGTAATAAAAAAATTCTTCATACCCAGGTAAGCCTTTGAGCCATGCAACTTAAAGCCAAGTGAGCTGATGTCATGGTCTGTTTGTCTGTTGTCTGTCATAAACATCTTCGGATGGACTGATGCTCATGATATCAGTCACTGGATTGTATGGTCCAGGTTATTTACAGACTGCTGTCATATTGCTGGAATGTTGCTGAGTGTGACAGACAGCAGGGTAGCAGGACCTGCTCAGAGGCCGATATCCAGCCCGAAGTCTGGAGCAAATATGAGTAAAATATTCCCAAATTGGAATTTCCAGCCATATTAAAATAAAAATATCTTTAAAAGTCTAACCTTGATGTGACCTTTGCATTTTGACCCTACTGAAAGCAGAAACTTTTTATGGCAATTACTCAGCCATTTGAATTCAAAATGTCATGAAAGTTGGTATACCAGTATGTGTTGATAGCAGTGGGGCTAAACATATCTGTTCTGCTTTTTGTGATATGATAAATCTTTACCTATTTTTGACCATGCAACCAAATTCTTTAAAACATAATTCCTTGCACTGTGAACATGATTTGTTATGAAACCACTGATCCAATGAAGCTGAAGTTCCCCAATTTGTTCAAGAGGTTCAAAATCTCATGTTAAAATCAGATTTTACTGCTCGCTGCTGCTACACAAAGATCCTACTGACTCAAGGTGTTCTCAAAATGGATAAGCATGCTCTGCTCTACCGGTAGCACCCGTCTTTCACATGATTCTTACACATAACGTCGGAATGATTAACAGGAAGTCGTAACAGTAAATTTTGACCTTGATTTGACCTTTACACTTTGACCATCCTGAAATAAATGAAACTTCTTTTGGCCATCATTCAAATTTTGGGGGACAAAATGTTGTGAAATTTGGTACATGTGTAGTTAGTAGTGGTGCTCAACACATATGTTCTGTTTGTTTGCAATATCTTATGTATTTTAACAATATCTTGGTTGTTTGCAATATCTTATGTATTTTAACAATATCTTGGTTGTTTGCAATATCTTATGTATTTTAACAATATCTTGGTTGTTTGCAATATCTTATGTATTTTAACAATATCTTGGTTGTTTGCAATATCTTATGTATTTTAACAATATCTTGGTTGTTTGCAATATCTTATGTATTTTAACAATATCTTGGTTGTTTGCAATATCTTAGGATTTGGCCTCATATCACCATGCCCTTAGATTCTCTTAAAATGCATATTCGCCTCTGTAAACATTTTCTCCTCTGAAGTTGCCTGACTAGAGTAACTAAACTTTGGCATGTTTGTTCCTCCATAGATTCATTAAATTTATGTGTTATTTATTAGAATTTATGGAAACAATATGTGAATGTCAATCATGACAGTAACCGTTTTTGAAACCATTGACTACATATCAAGTTAGACACATTATTTTTCCCAAATTGCCTGCCAAGGGCATTGGTTTTGGATCCTAGTTAAAACCCTGGCTAGTGTATGATATATTACTGTTTAAAACCTTTCAGCACTCACCATCTGCCGTCCATCTGTGCTACTGACAGCTTGAGCAGCAATCTGTTAAATATTCATGAACATGCATGTATCGTGGCATGACAAAGGACAAAATCAATACATTCAGTGGCAATAATTTGTTGTATCAAAGACTAAATTATTTTTGTATGTAAATAAGTGATTTATTGATAATTCCACAGGGATTATTACTAAACAAATTACTGGCGACATATGATGTGTGTACACAAATATAGAAAGCTTATTACCACTTAATTTAGACTCCTACCTACTTTCCTAGATTTTGTTAAGGTTAAAGAAATATGTTAATTGTGATTGAAAATATGCTTTCTATTAGCTTTTCATTAGTATTTTGTGAAGACTTAAGAATCTAGAAGTGAGTTCAACCTCAAATCAGTCCCACATTTTTGTAAATCAATCCAAACAATTTAGTAAAAAATAAGATTATTTTATGAATGTAAGTGGTATATATACATGTTACAAAAACATACCGGTATCGGACAAAACGATTCAATATTTTCTTTCATGTCCAAGTAATAAGGAAGTCATAGGGATTTAATTGTTATGAGATTGGATTGAAGTTGATAACTTTCACAAACGTATAGTCAGGATACATTTTATACTATTAATAACAGAGTGCAATTTCTGAACAGAAATCTGAAATGAATTTTTTTTTGTTCCCCCGTGGAACAATATATCAAGTCAGTGTAAGATTAACCAACAGAGCTGTTACTAGGCACTGAAGTATTTCTGCAGCCCTGCCCCTTGTGCCGGGATATTTGAGTGTTTGTTCAGGGATAGACTAACTGGACAATGTATCTGGAATGAAACACCAGTTCCAGGTAATGGCAAGGTGTGTATTAAACTGTATGGAAAGTTATAACATCATACCAGCTCTCAAGGTTCACTATGTTATTTATAGGTATTTGGATTGTAAGAATCAAGTATAGTATTATATGGTTAATCAAAAAAGTACTTTTAAGGTTTAACAAGTGTTTTGGCAAGTGAAAATATATCAATATGCTAGTCATATCTTTACTATCATGATACAATTAACGTAATTTGTATCTGCAAAGTTGCCAAACCTTGTAAAATGCCTGAGCTACGTCCCAGATATACACTGATTTTCAGTATATTAGTCTCTTGTTTTGATCATAATAACAATGCCTGCGACTCCATCGCCAAGGGCAAGGGCGATGCCATGTTTGTTGTAAACACTGAAAGTAGTATCTACCTGACCTTTCATATTTATATTTTTTGTCCGTATGAGACCCCAAATGATACCATTTTTATCTATTGTCTTTATCCTGTCGAGAAACTTACTAACTGTATGATAATATACAATATTTGTAAAGAATACATATATACATTTGTATTCATTTGTAGCTCACCTGACAAAATCATTGATGCAGAAAATATTTTAATATCAGTGCTGTCACTAACTTTTAAGTGGCTTTGGTGACATTTATCAAACTGTTCACTTCATATCCAGGTGAGCTACATTGAAGTGGTACCTTTTGTAATGCTCACATTATTAGTTGGTTTAGGCATTTTCCTGTTAATACCTTGCTCTCAACATTTAAATTAATGCTTCAGCATTTAAAGCTGGCACAATTCCTGTAGTCGGCAACAGTATTCTAAATTGTTACCGTATCCTTCGGACTTCATCTCCAAGGTTCTCTTATATATCATCATGTTATTACTGGACAAGTGACAAAAATAGGCAAATCCTACTGCTGTAGGATTAGTGTAAAGGTTGTAGTTGTTTCAAATTAAGATTGTGTTGTTTCTGTTCCTGTACAAATTAGATTGCATCTGTAAGAAGGTGTCATGTTGACAGTTACATAGTGTGTGTTTTTGTGCTGCACCCCACAGGCCCAGTCAGAAGAGAGGCTCGTCTGAAGATGGTGAGGAGAAGGATGCAAATGAAGGCGGCTCAGGTAAGGGTGTTCCAAATAATTGAGGAGCCTGGAAGCCCTATGTTTGATGCTCTGTGTTGTTGTACAGGTCAAGGGGCAGTCCCTAGTCAGGAACAAGGGGAGCCTGGAAGCCCTATGTTTGATGCTCTGTGTTGTTGTACAGGTCAACAGGCGGTCCCTAGTGAGGAACAAGAGGAGTCTGGAATCCCTATGTTTGATGCTCTGTGTTGTTGTACAGGTCATTGGGCAGTCCCTACTCAGGAACAAGGGGAGCCTGGAAGCCCTATGTTTGATGCTCTGTGTTGTTGTACAGGTCAATGGGCGGTCCCTAGTGAGGAACAAGGGGAGCCTGGAAGCCCTATGTTTGATGCTCTGTGTTGTTGTACAGGTCAACGGGCGGTCCCTAGTCAGGAACAAGGGGAGCCTGGAAGCCCTATGTTTGATGCTCTGTGTTGTTGTACAGGTCAATGGGCGGTCCCTAGTGAGGAACAAGAGGAGTCTGGAAGCCCTATGTTTGATGCTCTGTGTTGTTGTACAGGTCAAGGGGCAGTCCCTAGTCAGGAACAAGGGGAGCCTGGAAGCCCTATGTTTGATGCTCTGTGTTGTTGTACAGGTCAACAGGCGGTCCCTAGTGAGGAACAAGAGGAGCCTGGAAGCCCTATGTTTGATGCTCTGTGTTGTTGTACAGGTCAAGGGGCAGTCCTTAGTGAGGAACAAGGGGAGCCTGGAAGCCCTATGTTTGATGCTCTGTGTTGTTGTACAGGTCAACAGGCGGTCCCTAGTGAGGAACAAGAGGAGTCTGGAAGCCCTATGTTTGATGCTCTGTGTTGTTGTACAGGTCAACAGGCGGTCCCTAGTGAGGAACAAGAGGAGTCTGGAAGCCCTATGTTTGATGCTCTGTGTTGTTGTACAGGTCAACAGGCGGTCCCTAGTGAGGAACAAGAGGAGTCTGGAAGCCCTATGTTTGATGCTCTGTGTTGTTGTACAGGTCAAGGGGCAGTCCCTAGTGAGGAACAAGGGGAGCCTGGAAGCCCTATGTTTGATGCTCTGTGTTGTTGTACAGGTCAACAGGCGGTCCCTAGTGAGGAACAAGAGGAGTCTGGAATCCCTATGTTTGATGCTCTGTGTTGTTGTACAGGTCAAGGGGCGGTCCCTAGTGAGGAACAAGAGGAGCCTGGAAGCCCTATGTTTGATGCTCTGTGTTGTTGTACAGGTCAACAGGCGGTCCCTAGTGAGGAACAAGAGGAGTCTGGAATCCCTATGTTTGATGCTCTGTGTTGTTGTACAGGTCAAGGGGCGGTCCCTAGTGAGGAACAAGGGGAGCCTGGAAGCCCTATGTTTGATGCTCTGTGTTGTTGTACAGGTAAACGGGTGGTCCCTAGTGAGGAACAAGGGGAGCCTGGAAGCCCTATGTTTGATGCTCTGTGTTGTTGTACAGGTAAACGGGTGGTCCCTAGTGAGGAACAAGGGGAGCCTGGAAGCCCTATGTTTGATGCTCTGTGTTGTTGTACAGGTCAAGGGGCGGTCCCTAGTCAGGAACAAGGGGAGCCTGGAAGCCCTATGTTTGATGCTCTGTGTTGTTGTACAGGTCAACAGGCGGTCCCTAGTGAGGAACAAGAGGAGTCTGGAATCCCTATGTTTGATGCTCTGTGTTGTTGTACAGGTCAAGGGGCGGTCCCTAGTGAGGAACAAGGGGAGCCTGGAAGCCCTATGTTTGATGCTCTGTGTTGTTGTACAGGTAAACGGGTGGTCCCTAGTGAGGAACAAGGGGAGCTGGACCTGCTGGAGAAGTTCCTCAACCGGGCACAGAAAGCCAGGGATGTCCAGAAGAAGGTAAGCAGGTAGTAGGTCAAAGCCTGCAAAACTCTGTTAAGAAGGTAAGCAGGTCCATGCATGCAAAGCTGTATTAAAAATGTAAACAGGCCTAACAGTGGTTCATATTATGGGGGCTGCAGTCATTGAAACATCAAATGAGTCATGTTATTTTTCATGATAGAATGTATACACAGTGTTTGAAAGTTAGTCGAAAGTCAAAGGGTTGTTGTCATAACCTAGGTTTAAAACATGAGATTTAGGGTGTCCCTAGATTCAACAGCAAACTTTGAGGACCCCAAACTTTGAATACTTAGATATAATACACTTGATAACCGAGAATTGGTAATAATATTTTCCACTTAAATCTTTTGCCTATTAGGCACATATTAGGATTATAAAAAACACGAGAAAAGTGTGCTAGCATGCTACAACATTAAGACAGAGTTTCCAATTCAGATTAATTCTAGCTGGGTAGTCTAATAAATTGCCAGTACAATCACACATGGCAAACCATGTTTAAAATTCAAGATTAAGCGTTTCAAGCTTTGATGTGATGCAGAATACTAATTGAGCCATTCGACAATGAGTTGAATAGTTAATATTTTGATAACCCTGCCAAGTATCCTCAGCTGAGCATATAGTGTTGATCTATGTGGACTACAACTGTATTTACAAGTTTTCTGTGATATATTAATGTCAGGTCATTATTTAGATGCCAGCCTCCACATTCGTTCATATCCTATATTTTTTTTTTAAATCTGCAAAAGGAATCAGCCAAACAAATGAACATGCATGTTTTAAAAGTTAACCGTCCAAGACAAAAACAGCCCTTCTTGGACGGTCGGACAGCATGGCATACCGTATTCGACCTAATAAGCTCCCCGGCGATATTTGCAAATATATTGGCTGGTGAACAATTTCAATTAGCACCCCTTCCGATTGATCAATGTACACAAGACATTTATTCATTTATAATACGCACACGTGTGTAATATGCATACTTAATTATGGGCAGTTAAATTCTGAAAAAATATATCTGTCATATATATACATTTCAGTCTGTAAGCATAAACCATGAATTTTATGATCTTTCAACTCTGTTTTTTTTTTCCACTGAATTGATATTCTAATAAGAGCCTCCTATTTGTAATTTTGAGAGCGCCCTGGGTGCTTATTACGTTGAATACAGTATTAAATGCTAGTTAAAGGTATACTGATGACTTGTTGAATTTCATGTCTTCTGGTGGTTACCCTATATATTATCACTGTTCAGGATAGTAGTTTTTTCAGTATATCAAGCATGATGTCAGTTTAAGATCTAAGGTGAGATATCAAGTGTCAGGCTGTAGACTAAGTTGCATACTATATGTCTGCTGTCAAATGTCTCTTCCATGTCAATGGCTGTCTGCTAACTTGATAAAGACTGAAACTTGAAAACTAAATAATTATTTTCCCCAAGAAAAAATGCATTCCTAATTTGTAGTTTCTTGGCTTACAGATTGATACTAAACAGAGCAAAGATAGGAAGTCAGGTTCTCGAAGATTGTCTGAGGAAAATGTGGATAACAGGCAGGCAGAAGAACAAGAACTAGCAGAAGAACAAGAACAGACAGAGTTAGAATATGGTATCTGCTCAGAGGAAAACCTCACCGTCGTTAACAAGATCAGACGTGAAGTTAGAAATGAACTTTTGCAAGGAAGGACAAAACCTACAGAGAACTCTCATGTAGACAAGACTAAGAAAGCTTATCAAAATACAGTAGCATCACAACCCAAAGGTCCTTCCCATGTCAACAGTACTTTACATACTAAAGGCACTTTACATCCTGAAAATACTTCACATTCCAAAAGATCTCAAATAAGAAGTGCTTCACATGGCAGGAATGCTTCACATGGTGAAGGTGTTTCCCATTCTGGTAGTTCTTCTCACACAAGAACAGCTTCACATGGTAGGTGTGATACAACTAGTGGTGCCTCTCATTGCAGAAATGCTTCACATGGTGAAGGTGTTTCCCATTCTGGTAGTTCTTCTCACACAAGAACAGCTTCACATGGTAGGTGTGATACAACTAGTGGTGCCTCTCATTGCAGAAATGCTTCACATAACATGACACATGACAGAAAGAGAAAGGAACGATCCTCCTTGTTGGCTGCACCAAAGCCACCCCGACCCAGCAGTAGCAGGCCCTACTCAGCTCATGTTAAAGCACCTTTCAAAACAGACCCCAATGTCCGAGTTCCCAAGACGTCCACTACCAAAGCAGCCATGGAAGTCAATAAGGGACGTTCTACCACACGGTCAGGAAGTGTTGGAACCAAACCTCAAAGTCCCAAATTGACAGAACACATTAACAATAATATGAAAACTGAAATTACTAAACTTGTCCATACAAAATCAACTGGCATTAATTGTGATAAACCTGTAGGCAAAAACTCAGAAACATTGGATGGGAATGTAGCATCTCTTCCAGTACTCCCACCAGCAGAGAATGTCAAGATGTTTGATGACCCACATGTAGAACCTCCGTCATGGCCAGTAAACCCAACAGCAGAAAGAGTCCAGACTAAAGACGACGCACGTGTGAAACCTCCCATAAAGTCAGTTCACCCAGCAGATGGGCTAGCAAACAAGATGGATGGCCTGCATATATCTGGAGCAGATGTACAAGAAAAGTTGTTCACATTGCAACAAGATGGGTATGAAGATGATGAACATTTAAATACATGTGTACGATTTAACAAGACATTGTAAAATGCAAAAGTTATCCTATCTCACACTATGCATCTCTTCTTTCTTCTTTGATCTTACGTGGAAACGTGCTTGAACAAAGTTTCCAGCTTCTAAAAAACAATATGCCATATTAGAGAAAACATTTTGGTATCTTTGTTGTTGTAGGTTTCTCCTTGGGAATACAACTACGATACTAATGGAGAAGACGGGGACAGACTAAGATCATAGCCTGGCCTGCATAAATTGCAGGCATACTTTTTGTATTTACCTACGTAATATCATAAGCATAATATTGATCGGTGGTCTAATCTCAGGATGCAGACCGCGGGCCTTCCTCGGCTAAGAAGCCCTAATGTTTTACTGTCTCTTCCACCATAAAAGCCTTGAAACAACTTCTTACTTCTACCTTTATCTGTTGTAGACGATGGCATATCGGATAGCTTCCTTAGTGACTGACGCCTAAACAATCGTCTGATCCTAATGCAACTCTTTGACATTGCAACAAGATGACTCTGAAGATGAAGAACGTTTAATTAGATGTGTACAATTTACCAAGATGGTATCGACTGTTGATCTTCCCAGCATTCTCCAGACGTCAATTACGACATTGCTACTGTCCTGGCTTAACAATACATTCCTACATCAGAACCTCCAGCTACATTGGACGTTCCAAGGTTCTCTTCTGTTGATGCGTCCAAAGCTGCCTTGGATATGCCTTCAATCGACTCTCTTGGCGCTCCTCGATTGTCTGCTACCAGTCGTCTTTCGTCTCCTGCTCCTTTGCGTGATGTGCAGGTTGATGGTGATTGTTCCTTTCCATCGAACGTTACTGGTGCTCCTCCATCAACGGTGACGAATAAGACTGGACTGGAACCAGTAGAACAGGTTCACCCTTCACTAAGGATTGCTTCTTCCAAGAATCAGCGTTTTGAAAAAAGTCGATTGCATGATCTGCACTGAAAGGATTGCTCCCCCAAGGGTCACTCATCTAAGGATCGCTCACCTCCGGATTGACTGTCTCAGGATCATCGTTCTGGTCAGCGTATTTGCTCTTGGGATTGACACTTTTGGGTTTGACAGTCAAGGGATCTACTCTCTCGGGATCTATGATTTGGAGATCGACCTTCTAGGAATTGACGCTCTCGCAAGGATCTGCTGATTCTTTAAGTTCCCCTCTTGTTTGACGTGACTCAGTGGGTGGTACCTATAGAGACTAAGACAAACGTTCTTCTACTTTTGGTCACTCCCAGTCCTCCAGTGACACGTATAAATCATTAACAGGATCGTTCAGGCTCCTATGACTGTGATCATCGACCTCATTAGGGATCTCTATCGGTACAGCGATTATGCAGATCACCCACGCGGCTGGGAGAGTTACCCCTTGCTCTTGGAATCGTATCCTTCTTGGCGTGGATATCCTTAAGCTTCGTCCTATCTAGATTACCACTCTGCACGGATTTCCACTCTGCATTGATTATTCTGTTCTCCTCATCGGGATCAACGCTTTGGTCGACATTGCCGTAAAGAGCCTCGGGGTCCCACTTCTTCCTGTAGATGTTCATCTCCGTCAGTCACTTGTGTGGATCGCTGTTCTCTGACTGCTTCTTCGTTTCTGTAGGGTTCTTCCTACCTAGTCTGTGCCGACCTTTTGTGACGCTCCCTTCATCCACACAGTCACAATCTACATGGGACCATCGGGATCAGGCTAACGATCCGGCGCCGAACCTACAATTGTTCCTACAGGCAGTGACCTCTGTCCTCCAGAATCATTCTGGGCTACGAGTGGTACCTCCTCCTGCTAATTCGACTTGTGCTGGCTGCTCCCTGTTCCACTCAGTTCAGCTGTTTCTGTTCCTGTTCCTCTGGATGTTGATCCTGCACCGGCTGGTATCGATGGAGATCATCGAGGGAATCAACATCGACACCCCTCTTCTCAGGGTTGACATCTACCTCGGTATTGGGCCACATGTTTTATGTATAAATGATGTCAGAAGTTTTCTCTGTCTGTGAGAGAGGTGTGTGGAGTGTGTGAGGCAAGACCTAAACTGGTTTGCCCTCTCTCGAGTGCTTGTTCTCTGTGTTGTAACAAACCCGCTTATGTTGGAATCAGTACAAAACACTTTGGCGCAGTTTACTTACTGTCATTGACATGACAGTTAGTAGATCTATGTTAATTTTTACATCAAAGTAACTCACTCGCTACTTTTAGTTTGACCTGTCATGATGGCACTCAGCTCCCAAGACAGGGTACTGCACTAACGATGTTCATCATTAATGTCTGAACCCTGTACATCTGGGTCCATGCCTAATTAGAGCAACCAGCAGCTTCAGACGTCCGCAGGGTTCTCTCTACGGATGTTTCGTCCAAACTTGATTCGACAGCACCAGCCATAGATGATCCAACTTTTTCCTGATTGCCCAACCGCCAGTATTTCCTAGTCTTCCACACTTTTATGTGTTGTTTAGGTCGGCATCAAACCCACCACTCCAAGGACATAGTTGCTCTTAAAATTTACAATGACGATTCCAGCCTTCCCCCGGATCAATCGTACAAAATGGTCATCTACCCCTAACAAGGATCTACGTAGCCAGGATCGATAGCATGATTTTATAGTAAAGAACCAGCTTCTGGGACAACCAGATTGGCTGCTAAGATCCCGTTGCTGGCATCCATCCTAGGCCCTGCTGACCCAGAAAGTTCTCTCCTTAAGTCTGGTGCGAATGCTCTGAATGTACTTGGTGGTACTTGGTGGCTTCCTCTATCGGAAGAGACACTTCATCACGCTCTCAACAGCAGCCGAAGTTTCCTTACCACCATCTTCTGGCTCCGCTCAGTCATCCTTATAAGTCATTCTTTTCTGTTTCGATCATTCTTTACAGATTTGCAGTTGTTCATGTAACTATGTCATATGTGAAAACATGTTCCTCATGTTAGACCTGATCTCTGTTACGTGTGAGTATCACCTGTTTTGGTGATTTTTTCCTGCTCACGTGTTATTTAAGAAATAAACGACGAGTGGGAGTTGTCAATTGTACAATAAAACACTGCAGGGAGAATAAAACCATGAGAGGCACAGTGACCACAAGTCATGATGACTCCCTCAATAGAATCCAACCTCGCAAATGTCGGAGAAATCCATGTTATGCACAGGTTGCTATTTCCCACGTATTCTCAAAATCCTCATGATTACCTGTACCTTTTCTCCCAATACCGATTGGCATACCTCTCCTGCTTTTGGATGCGATCATTCTGCCATTGCATTTGTCTGCTTTGCCCAGCTACATCTATGGGGAACAACTCACAGGACACCCCCCTCTAAAAAATATCGTTCGCATGTTCGAATCTCGATAAATGACGTCATGATAGAACAATGTTTTATCGTGAAATAAACCACGCTTCCTTCTTCATTGTTCTTTGCGATTTATTGTGAAGCTATCTTATATTGTCGTTTACAACACTAGGCAGTGTTTTAAATGTTTTATTTATTTCACTGTTTAGCACCAGCTTCCTCATGTACGTCTCGCAGTTGTAGTCTATTACAGGTATCTGCACCCCACCTTCCAACCATGGGATCAAATCATAGCGTGAGATAGGATCAGTTTAAAAATCACACCTCCTCCAGCCTGTTAGCTATAACAAAAGAGAATGATGTGGCAGGGGTGAGCACATCATCAGGTCATGTAGGATGCTATGCACGGGATACAGTGCATGACCCATTTACTTCATTGGTGGCCATGTTGATGCTGGGATGTGTTCAGGTACATTGATTTTTAGAAGATGGAACCTTTGTTCAAGCACTTTTCCACATGAAGGATCAAAGAAGAAAGTCGAGATAATGTGAGATAGAATAAGTATATAAATAAACAATTTATTAGAAATTTCCAGTATTTTCCCGTTGCACTCTATCACTATGTGAACTGTCACAGTTGTGAGACAGAAGTTGATGTGACTGTGGAGTGGTATGACATCAGGATACAATGGGTGACTCCCTATGGTCCTGTGAACCTGCATGGTGGGCATCATAGGCAAAACAATCAAATCGGAGATGATCTGATAAATAACGATAAAACTTGATATTTAATTTTGTTGCCCCAGCAGAATTTCATGCTTGTTTTTCAAATTTGGAAATGGGATTGAGAGTGAAAGATGCCAATTAAGAAAAGTATTTATATGCAGTGAAAGTTTCATTTAACATCCCCTTGTGGGGAAGTTAGGTCCCTAGCATTGGTTTTGGTTTGTTTGTTGTTAAACGCGCACTCAGCAATTTTCCAGCTATATGACAGCAGTCTGTAAATAATCAAGTCTGGACCAGACAATCCAGTGTTTGATATCATGAGCATTGACCCACGCAATTGGGATCGATGACACGCTTCAACCAAGTCAGCGAACTAAGGTCTGATTTTAATGAGATTGAGGGGGGGGGGGCCCAATCTCATTAAAATCAGACCTTAGTTCTCACTACCGCTAAACAAAGATCTGAAGACATCCCATTAGGGGTCACGTCGGAACGACCAATCAGTGCGTCGCTTACCAGATTATAAAAGTGACAGTCGGAATGTGATTTCTAGTCTTGCAATCTCAAAAACTTTAACACAGTGTATTCCGAACGATAGTTATGGGTTTAACGACTGAATCCTTACAATCTAGACCATCTATTAGTCATTCCAGAATGTTATCTTGTTCAGGTTTCAAATTTGTAATCGAGGATTTGTCAAAATATGTTTCGAAGCGTAGTCGCCAATTTGAAATTTGTGCCGTAATGCAAGTGAAAGCTACCTTCTGATTGGTCATTCCATTGGTCGGTTAAAGTTCGCGCAAGGTCGGTCTGTAATGGGATGTCCTCAGATCTTTGTTTAGCGGAAGCGAGAACAAAGATATGATTTTAATGATAGTCGCCTCTTACGACAAGCATAGTCACCTTTTACGGCAAGCATGGGTTGCTGAAGACCTATTCTACCCCAGATCTTCAGCAACCCCTGCTGGTCGTATGAGGTGCCCAAATGGATCGGAAGGTCAGGCTTGGTGACATGGTTATTTGCATGTCATTATATATGATGGTGTGGATTGTTGTTCATAATATCAATCACTGGATTGTCTGGTCCAGACTCAGTTATTTTCAGGTCGTTGTCATGTAGCTGGAATATTGCTGAGTGAAACAAATCAAACAAACACTTAACGTTTTCCAATCAATCAGACTGCAGCACTCACACCCATTGATTTTGCAATGAGTAATGCTTTTGTTGTGTTTTGTTGAGTTTTGTTGAAAGATTTGATGAAAGTACTGTGTTCAGTATAGTGCCAATGTTTTAAAATTTTGTTCATGCAGAGCTAAAATATATATACCAAGTAAATTTCGGCGGAAAGTGGCAGCAAATGAGAAACTGAGGGAAAAGGTTGCAACCCAGAAAGTTACAAAGAAAGTGGGCAGCTGTGACGCAAAGATGGAGTTTTTGGAAAGACTAGAGCATGGGGTGAGTTTCAGCTACCACGTCAGTCTGGAAATACACGACTACTAGGGTATCGAGTGTTTCATGGGTGAGTTTCAGCTACCACGTCAGTCTGGAAATACACGACTACTAGGGTATCGAGTGTTTCATGGGTGAGTTTCAGCTACCACATCAGTCTGGAAATACACGACTACTCGGGTCTCGAGTGTTTCATGGGTGAGTTTCAGCTACCACATCAGCCTGGAAATACACAACTACTCAGGTCTCGAGTGTTTCATGGTGTGAGTTTCAGCTACCACATCAGCCTGGAAATACACAACTACTCGGGTCTCGAGTGTTTCATGGGTGAGTTTCAGCTACCACATCAGCCTGGAAATACACAACTACTCAGGTCTCGAGTGTTTCATGGGTGAGTTTCAGCTACCACATCAGCCTGGAAATACACAACTACTCGGGTCTCGAGTGTTTCATGGTGTGAGTTTCAGCTACCACATCAGCCTGGAAATACACAACTACTCAGGTCTCGAGTGTTTCATGGGTGAGTTTCAGCTACCACATCAGCCTGGAAATACACAACTACTCAGGTCTCGAGTGTTTCATGGTGTGAGTTTTAACATTTAAATCACAGGTCTACCCCACCACAATGTTAAATCTAATGTTGATTTATTGTAGTTCAACCCTGATAGTGACCTTGTTACTCAGACGAGGGTCATGTCATGTCTGACTGCATACCAGCACCTCCATCAGTTGTTGGAAGGCCTGAAGCTCAGTGACATAACAGGTAATATTTCCCAACATGAAGTAAACAGGCTGACAACAGTCAGCAATGTTCAAACTGTATTGCGGAGGTTACATTATCATTTTTGGTGGCGGCAACCAGTGGTTGAAAGGATAAGGAACGAAGGATCGATACGGTCAGGGTATAATGTCATGCAGCTTGCATTGGAGAGTCAAGTCACATGTGGTCTTCACCCTTTAAAATGAGGGGCGGTCGGGTAGCCCAGTGGTTAAAGCGTTCGCTCATCACGCCGAAGACCAGGGTTCAATTCCCGACATTGGTACAATGTGTGAAGCCCATTTCTGGTGTCCCCCGCTGTGATATTGCAGGAATATTGCTAAAAGCGGCGTAAAAAAATACTCGCTCACTCACCCTGTAAAATGTATCAGATGTATAAAATGTTCACAAATATTCATTAGTATGTTGATATCTACAAAATCCTTGGGTTGTACATGTGATTGTTTCATCAACTTTACATTCAGGTATTTCCAATATTAATGCCCATATTTGTGACAATGCCTCTGCAAAATGAGAGTAATCACAAAATGATTGACTGATACACCTCATAATATTTGAGCCCGTGGGTAAAAAGAGGTTTTGAGTGACTTGAGGACTTGCAAAAAGTCAAAATCTAGTCACCTTGAGTTGACTGTAAGAAAACACTTCTGTACACTATAGATTGCAGCAGTCATGTCTCCAGTCTGTGTCCAATTCTTGATGTCATCATCCTGTTCCAGAACTGTCCTCTACTGGCTCCGTGCTGCGGGCCAAGATGATGATGGAGTACATTCTGGCGTCGTGTGACCGCCTGCAGCATGAATCAGAGACCCTGGTGGAAGGTTTGTATTCATGTTATTAATGACAGGCAACAGGTCAGATCTACAAGTAGGGTAAGCTTGGATCTCTCTACAGTGAGACTACAAGTAGGGTAAGTGTGGATTTCTCATTTCCGGATCAGAACTAAAAAACCATGAGAGATATCTTAACTAAACTTGGCACATAGATTGGTCTAGTGGTGAACTGGTGCCTTGTGATAGTTTTGGGAAGTTTCCATGGCAACAACTTTGACTCAGTGTGTGTTGGGGGTGTTACAACAGCTAGTGCACAAAATAACCTCAGTAGACAATCCCTGCTGCATTCCGCAGTCTCAGAACATTTTGCCGAAATGTCTTCTCGGTGTAGAGATGTAACTATCTTGCAGAAAATCCCTTTTTGTGCAGAACTTGTGCAGAATTTTGCTGCTGCACAATTCGTCAAATACACTGCAAAATTTTAAAATGCGAGTCAAAATCTGGTTTTAAACCATTTTCATAGGTTTACTGAAACAAACAGTCATTATTGAATTGTGCATTGTGTTATTTAAATCATTCAAAATAATCATTTGAGGTGTTTGTGTTTTATGGAATGGACGAAAATACGATTTACAAATGAACTTTTAAACATTTTACATTTAGGTAAATGGTTAAATGAATCAATTTTGTTTTGAAGTCAAGTTATTGCTCACTGAAAGTGCAAGTGGGAAAGTATCAGGGCATTCGTGAAAAGGTGGGAATGGGGCTGCTTCTGTTTTTGCAAGTAATGCAAACTCCTTTCTTGTTTATGTACTTTATTCCTGCAGTCGTGCAGTATTAAACTGTTTGGGCAGTGAATGTGAATATTTCATGTTTGTCGATGCGAAACTGAGATATGTGAGGAACATCAAATTTATCTTTATTGTACAGTCTGTTTTTCATTCCATAGTATGTTTGTTGCTGAGACATTATTTACATTTCATTTTGTATTAGTTGTCTTCTGATGTTGTTTGAAGAAACGCTCAAGGGATTTCAGTGTTTCCCATTTGCTTTGTCGTTTTGGCCTGACGTATGCCATGGCTAGGTTGCCCAGCACCTTCTGGTAAACATCAGCTTCTCAGCAACCACTGGGCCAGTGAACCTTAAACTTCACTTCACCAGTGATGACACCTCAGTTTGTTGCTGCCACAGCAGCCATATTGAAAAGCCTATCAGGCCCACTGCAGCTGTCTCTTAACGAATTGTAATGAAACTTGGTGTATGTTGAGTAAGTAGTGGGGATTACCATACATGTTCCAGCTTTGGCAATATTATGAATTTTGATCTCGATATGACAGTTACACTTTTGTCATGCCCTTAAATTCTCTCAAAAGGAATTATCGGCTCCGTACACATCTTCTGTGAAACTGCTAGACTGACAAAGCTGAAATTTACATACATACATGTTCCTGCTGCTGATGACATCACATTTTGTTCAAATCATGATGGGGTGGTCGGATAGCCTAGTGGTTTAAGCGTTTGCTTGTCACACCGAAGACTCGGGTTCGATTCCCATCATGGGTACAATGTGTGAAGCCCATTTCTGGTGTCCCCTGCAGTGATATTGCTGGAATATTGATAAAAGCGTAAAACCAAATCACTCACTCACTCCAATCATGATATTTGGTACATGTTTAGTTAGTAGTAGCACTCTACACGTGTGTTCCATATTTTTATATTAGGGAGGAAAAATATTGTCAGGGTTAACTTGATATACAGTTCCCTTATTCATTTGAAATAAAAAAATTGTCATAAATACAAACACAATAGTTGCATTTAAAGCATATTCTGTCAAGCACATAATGTTGTATTCATAAGTTATATATATTTTGTATTTTAAAATGTGCTCGACAATAAGAAAATACATGTGGCCCAAGTAAGAAATGGCTGATTCCTGTGCATCACCGACATGCTGGTAATGATAGTATTTGTTGCTTCAGCGGAATACAGTGCCCATCTCAACAAGCCGCTCCCTGTGCTCCAGATAGATAGGGAGACTTCTCTGTCCCAGTGGATGCCTCATGTATATGTGACAGGTAGGTGACCAGGTGACTTACATATACCATGTGTCTTAGGGTGAAATGATACAGCAAGGTCACGATATTATACATAGCACACTACATTGGTCACAATACAGTAAATATTTCCGAGCAGCTCAAAAGGAAAAGCTAGCTTTAGACATGTTCGTAATGGCATTTTTTGGTACTTAACTTGAGACTCTAATTACAACACATTTTGCAATATTTGATTGACAAAATGCTGGGGGTCATTAAACGATAGTAATTAATTTATCTAGCTAGTGTATACTCTTGTTTGTGTGTTGTTAAACGCTGCACTCAGCAACATTCCAGCTATATGACGGCGGTCTGAAAATAATCGAGTCTGGATCAGACAATCCAGTGACATCATGAACATCAATCCACGCAATTAGCAAGCCTGACCACCTGATCCCGTTAGTCGCCTCTTACAACAAGCATAGTCGCCTTTAACGGCAATCATGGGTTGCTGAAGACCTATTCTACCCCGGATCTTCACAGGTCGTATAGTCTTGTATCGATATTTAAAAAAAAAGTATTGTGGCATGGAAACACATGGTATCATTTCACCCCTTATGCATCTGTTTTTCAGCCTGAAAAAATAAAATGTGTGTTTTCATTTTCCTGACTGTTTTTACGACTGGAATTGTCCTATTTTATGCTTTTAGCATAAACTTGTCAGGCCACAAAAAAAACCATAAATTTGTTGCCCTTCACCATGGATAAGCCAGTGATTATCTTCATTTGAAAGCAGGCAATTGCTGACATACTTACAAAGAAAAAAGTAAACAAACCTGACCTACCTACCCTATTTTTGGATGGGCTAAAATAGGAAACACATATATTGATACTGCTTCAACTGTGAACTGACTTGTAACATTCCACAAAATGTACATTGGACAGAAAGGTATGAAGGCTGCTTGATAAGTTCCGAGTCTCACATAGACAGAACTGTGTATAGTGAAATGTTTTGTTGTGGACATTGCTTGATGTAATACAAAATAATTGAGTCAATTGAGCAGTCAGTAAAATAAGCAGGGGTTTGTGACCTTTGAAAAAAGGGATAAACTGGAGGAATGTTCATTGAACATGTACTTGCAGGAAAAGGATTAGACTAACATCTAATCTCTGAAATGACAATATCATCCACAAAAAAAAGACAGTTGTTAAATTATCTTAATAAAAATATAATAAAAAGGAGCCCAGAAACTCTCTTCATTTTCAGATACTGCAATAATATAGACTTGCCAAACATTATAGACTTGCAAGGGCTGTAATAGTCAAACTGCCTCAAATATGACTTTTAGTGAGTCATGGTACGGCATTTATGGTATGTGTATCCATTCTCTTGCAACTAAAGTTTGTTTCAAGGCGTCAATAGCGGTTATCTGATCGTGGTTGCTGTAAATAATGGTGAGTTGTTCGATCTACCGATCACTTCGCATACGAATTTGCCGAAATTCTTGTAAACAATTTTTATAATTATTGAATGACATTTTGAATATAAGTAATAAAATATATCGCAAACATTAGTCTAGATAAACAATGAACTATTTTTTAGTTCTCCAGGTCCGAAGGACCAGGGTGAGCTTATGCCATACCATGGCGTCCGACATCCGTCCGTCCGGTGTCCGTACATCACCAATTTATTCAAACGACTTCTTCTTCTGAACCACTGATAGGAAATTATCAAAATTGGACTGGAAGCATCCCTAGGTGGTGGGGATTCAAAATTGAACAAATGGTGGGGCTAACCCCCCAAGGGGCTGAGGGGTGGGGCCAAATAGGGGTAATTCTGCTTTATTGCTCTAAGCGACTCTTCTCTGGAACTAAGATATAAATATTAACCATATTTTTTAATCCCAACCCTATAATAAACAGATACAGTGTATACATTTGTTCATTATGAAGAGAATGATACATTTATGCCAAAGGATTTGCCCTGGGGTCCAGCCTTGTCTCTGGAAACTTAGATCCTGGATCATAACATGGAAACAGTTCAGATCATTATGCTACATTTGTAGCTAGAGGAATACACGTTCATGCTGTCAGATTTGCCATCCACCTATTTTAAATGCTGACAGTCAAAATTATGAAATATTTGCAGTATTATGTACATGTACAATGCAAATGTATATTTTGTCATGATTGCGTAAATATCCAGGTGAGCGATTCAGGCCCTATGGGCCTCTTGTTTATTACCAGATATTATAATAACAGTATTAAATTGCATGCTTTCGTTCAGATTTGTTGACTGGTATTTCAGGTGTTACGTGATCGCAGTGATCAGCTGATAATGTTTTCTGAGATGGGGGGAAAACATGGTGTCATTGGAAAACTTGAGTTTATTAAAAATGTTAGTAAATTTTGGGAGCCATGCTTTTTCTGTGCGCTATAACTGAGTTAGTGCTATATTGAAGGGCGCAATAATAAGGGAACGTTGTATTTGTATCAGACCAGAAAAGAGTATGTTATGCTCAGAACCTATCAATAAACACTAATATTTACGAGTACATAGAGGTTATCACGCGAGTGTGTTTGGGGATGGTAAATATCCTGCATTAGGAATAAACGTTGTATTTAGCGAGCATAAATACATAGTGTTTATTCCTAATACAGGATATTTACCATCCCCAAACACACAAGCCTGATAACCTCTTTATCATATAATGTCATTCTTTAAATCTGCGCTTCAAAATCGCTTTCCCTCTCACAAACATTACCGAAACATTACGAGTTTTCCTGGAATGCGCGCATTAATATTTATTACGTCACAGGGCAAGTGATGTGTCAGTCGGACAGTGACAGTAGCCAATATAGTTCCAACTGAAATCTGTTTCTTATACAGTGGCGAAGCAACATATACGCAAAATAACAATTCTTTTTAATTGCCTTTCGCGGCAATCCATCGGTCTGTCAAAGGGAAGCTACTCTAACCCTAGTCTATGAGACGTCATGGCCATGGTCAGACGTTGTTGACAGTCGGTCTGTCCTGTCATAACGTTAAGAAGTGTAGTCCTATGTACACAGAGCGACAAAACGAAACAAGGTAACAATTCAAACATATTTCGGCCAAATCCAACTATTTCAATTTGTGGAGAAGGTTTCAAGCCGCAGAGGTCTACCAGTCATGGCTATTGATCCCGCTTGGCTAGGCCTCGTGCCCTCGCAAAATTGTTTCGAAATTTATATCTCCGAAGTTGCCAAAACTTATAAAATGCCTTAGCTATGTCACAGTTAGACACTGATTTTCAGTATATTAGACTGTTCTTTTGATAATGATAGCAATTATCTTTGTAGTTTATCCAGATTCCCGATGGTTAATTCTAACTCGATTGCCGAATGACGAGGGCGACGCCGTGTTTGTTTATAAACAGTGAAAGTAGTCCCTACTTGACCTTTGATATTTGCATCTCTATCGCATATGACCCCAACGGATATCGTTTTTATCCGTTGGCTTTATCCTGCCGAGAAACCTACCCATTATATGATAAATAGAATTACACAGATTCTGATAAATTCATCTCAGCAGCATTGATTAGGGTGTATGTAACACTTGATTGAACTATCCATGCATGACAGATGCCCCAATTGCAATATATCAATGATAAATGACAATATCAATAGGTAACATTGGTACTTGGTAGTATCGATCGACATTATAATATGAAACATTGTTAATCAATCACTTTTCCATTTGATTTTATTGAAAATAAACAGTTTGAACAATCATTGTACTCATTCAAAATTTGTTTGCAATTTTCTGTCCGACAACAAATGACGTACCTCCCATAATTCCCATCGAACCTCAGTTGAAGCTGGAACATGGTGGCATGTTATTCAGGTTGAATCATGCAGGGAAGTCTTAAATTGTGGGAAGAAAAATGTACTCATCATTACAGTACTGTCATCGTGACTGATTTGGGACACCCTTAGTCTGAAGGTTTCATTCCACAGGCTAATTTCTCTGTAGCCATGACAACATGTATATGTCTAGAATCACTTTATTGCCAGTACTTTCAAGAAGCTAATCCAAATGGTTAATCCCTATTGTATTGTACAATGGCTGTCAGCCCTCCTGAACAAGTTGTGCAACTACACATGTATAACATTTCTCATTATTGCTGTTGTTTATAGTGATGACTTAATCCATGGCAGATGACCTTGGACATATTAACCTTGGTCCAGATAAAAAATAGGAAGGTCTCACTTTAGGACTAGGACTAGGACTAGGCAAGCTGCTCCAGGGCCCTGTTCCACAAAGCGATCATAGCATCGTAACTCCCATACTTTAACATTGATGTATTCTCAAAGCGCTACAACATTATTATCCTGGTCAATGGATCGGTGTCATTCTCAACTCCTTTGGGAGTATACAACCCAATCTGCCTCTGTTGCACAATAGACCTGTGAAAACCTGGGGTAGAATAGGTCTTCAGCAACCCATGCTTGTCGTAAAAGGCGACTGATGGGATTGGGTGGTCAGGCTCGCCGACTTGGTTGATGCACGTCATCAATCCCAATTGAGTGGATTGATGCTCATGATATTAATCACTGGATTGTCTGGTCCAGACTCGATTATTTACAGACCGCCATCATATAGCTGGAGTATTGCTGAGTGTGGCGTTAAACAACAAACCAACCAACTGATGCACAATATCATTGTTATAGTGGAAGTGATCCTCCAGTCACCCATAAAACTTTTCCTTTAAATGTCTTCCATAATGATTTTCCAAATGTTTCCTTATAAAACATGGGCTTTTGCCACCTCAGTTTATTCGTCTGACAGAAATGGTCTATGACTTCCGGGTCATTTAATGGCACAACCTGTCACGGGTGTTCTTTACATACTTCAGATGTGCGACTGCCTTGTCCCTCTGTCATCACGTACAGGACAGGCAAGGAAGTGCAGCAGTACAAACACCTGGTGTTTCAGCTGCAGTATCTGCGATTACAGTCAGTTGTCATGGAAATGGCCATCAATAAACTACTACCTGTTTTATTGACTCTTGATCCCAAATCCAGGTTTGTTACTCCATGACATGCATTTGTATTACTGCACTTACTTCGAATACCAATGAGTTCTTTCATCTTCCACATCAATATATGTGTGTGTGATCTAGTGGTTTAAGGCACCTTGACACGATAGTTAGAATCACACATTTAAACTAATCATGATCTCTGGTCCATAAGCACCATGCCAGTGCCTGTCCAGTTCATCAGAGTTGTAAATCCTGCAGCAACACTGCGATGTATCGAACGTTGTTGTAATAACAACAACAATGCCCACCAACTCATAGGCATTTAACAGTGTTTAATATATAAAACATACTTGTTTTTGTATTAATGCTGCACAAATGAATAACAAGCTGCCATCCATTTCCAGGGAATTCATCCTGATGTACAGGGCAGTCTATGCCTTCTTGTCATCAAATGAAGCTCAACACCTACCAGGGATTGTTCAAGAGAGCATGTAACCATACTACTAGGAGAGCCTGAATGAACACTGAACATCACTGAACATAAAGACCTATGAAGCTGAAACTTTCAATGGTGTCCCTAAGAACTGTTCACAGATTTCTGAATTTATTTTGTTCAAATTGTACTGAATTAGTCCCTTTCAAGAACATGTCATCTTTCCAATAATTATCGATGTTATAAAATATTGTGTGTTGCATTATGTGTGTATATAGCATGAATATTAACTGTCAATACGAGGGCTGGGACAACATACAAAGTCATGTTACGATAGTAAGATCATGGTGACAAAGAGACATTAACTCAAACTGATGATGTAAGATGGAAGCTTAATGTGAACATCCCTTACAAATGATCCTTCACTGTGACCTTTCCTGCCCGCCAAGATGACACGTACCTACAGTAAAATGCTTTTCAAGTTATTGTTTGAACAAACTTTCCTCTCAAGACTTATTTACAAAGTCTACCTGTATAAACATTGATGCAAGGAAGATGACTCATGGACATGCTTTGTACATATTGTAAGGAGTCCTCCAAAATATTTAACCACACTCTATGCAGGGGTTGTTGCAAGTGAAGGAAAATTGTACACAGACTTGCATTTTCCCGAAGACACCCCAGCTGCAGAACATGGATAGTACTTTCTCTTACAGGGCTAATCTAAATGTAACATACAGCCTGCAAGATAAACTTTTGTATAAAGTTAATTAAAACTTATTCTACAAAGGATCCCCCCCCCTCCCCGTCTCCTAATTTCGGAACTGGATGAGAATGTCATCAGGAGAGCACCACCGTCTCTTGTGTACCAGGGGCATGTTGTAGGGAGCAGCACTGCCGGGTACGATTGTAGGGAAATATCTTACAAAAGGCAGTGTACAGGTCACACATCATGATGCCACCTCATATTCTGCACATCAGAGTGAAATATTGATCAGCTCAGTTGACATGTAACATTGTACAGTAAAAAAACCTTTATAACGAACATACTTACAACTGACAGATGTAACAAACTATTTCTTGGTCCCACCCATTTGCTGTAACATATGCTAAAAACAAACTACGGTTATAACAAATTAAAATTGGTGGTCCCTTTGAGTTTGTTATAATTGTCATTTACTGTAGTGTCTTATGGACATAGATTTTCTCAGGATGGTCAATTTGTTTCAGATACTACTGTTGTCCATTGCTTCATGACCAGGTGTTCCAGGCTAAAAAAGCGTATTTATACCGGGAGTTGTTTTTGCATGCTGCACATAAAATGTTCTGTCATGAATCTATACTAAGTCTTTATCTGCCACTTGCACATTTTGAGAACATGTTCATTTTAAATTTAGAGCCCTGAACAAGAATATATATATCTCCAGGTCCAAGTCCATTAACTGTTAACATAACACTATGCTTTTTATTTCCCAGTCTTAATATAAAATCAATAGTTAACAAAACAACATTTGTGTTGCCATGGCATACGTTGATGATTACCAGCCCTGCAGGCGACATGTTTTAACAAGAGTTTGCCACTAACATGGCTATATCCCCTGCCCCTGTAGTAGAATTTATAACCGTTAAATCTAAACAAACTCTAACCTTTTTTAACCGAGGTGGAACTTGTCATGGAAATTGTTTGGGACCTAAATCCTTGTTGCCATGGAAACATAAAAAATTACTCAATTGCAAAAGGCACCAGTTCAGCATGTACTTTACAGACCTTCATGAAAAAATATTGAACTGTTTCCGACTTATGCTCCGCAAACAAAACGTGATGGACAGACGGTTGGGCAAAGAAAAAAAAAAATGACAGATGGGATACAATTTGCTAGAGGCTGTAATAATTTGCCAAATTGGAAACCCTTTTGCACCTGAGGCAACATGATTTGATGGTTGTTTAATGCCGCACTCAGCAATATTACAGCTTATATGACGGTGGTCTGTAAATAATTGAGTCGGCCAGACAATCCAGTAATCGCCATCATGAGCATCAATCCACACAATTGGGATACAATGACATGCATCAACCTAGTCTGCAAGCCAGACTACCCGACCCTGTTAGTCGCTTCTAACAGCAAGGATTGGTTGCTGAAGACCTATTCACCCCGGATCTTGAGGCAACATGAAAACAAGCTGACCTGGATTGTGGTGTGCTCACCAATATCAATACTTTATATAAAAATCCCCCAATACTGTTATGTAGAGGTGAAATGATGCATGAAGGTCACAATACAATACATATCACGATACACATTTGCGGGAAAAACTAGCTGGGGGACATATTTGTGAACACTAATGAAACACTAATTACAGTACATTGACAGACAATTCTGTGGAGGGGGTTGGGGAGATGGAGAAGTAACAAATTTAGCAAGTATTCATACAGTCAAAAATGTATCCTGTATTTTGTCCCATGACAACTCAAGGCACCATTTCACACCTAGTTTTTATCAAAACCAAATTAGGGTTCTGGTATTGCATGTGACCCTGGAGAAGAAAAATGATACTAATTCTCTCGATATCAAATTTAATACACAGAGAAGGAGGCAAACAGACATGTACCCCTGGCTTCTGAAAGGTTTATCGAAAAGTATTCACACTTGGTCACGCTCATTCCCTTTAGAATTCACAATGAAAGATCATGAAACCATAGGTTTTGAAACATACAACAAAATAGAACATAGTTTCTTCACTTTTATTCCAATTTCGCATGAGAATGTTGAAATCTGTCGTCATTGGCCCTCAACTGCAAAACAAATGTCACCTTACCTCTCCTGGGATGCTGCTACATGTATCAAGAAAAAGACAGATGCATTCTGGAAGAGCCAACAATTGTTTCTAATATGGAACTGTTGATTGTCTACACCACAAACCTGTGTATAAATTGATCTACATTTGAGACCCATGTTTTCCTTATCTTCTCTATCCCCAGGGTCATTTTCTCATGAAATGATGGAAGACTATTTTCAAATGTGAGTGGATGAAATACCCGTGCCCCAAGCATGTAACAGTATTTCTTGCTTTTTTACCAATTTCAGTTATTTATTCCAAAGATGCCAATGTTTTGACTTCTCATTACCCAAGAAATTGCAGACTGATAGGGAGAACTGCATAATTCACTAGTCAACTTACATCCATTTTACTGAAACGCTCATTTCAATGCAAAAATAGTTTAAATAGCAATCAATACAGTAACCAGTTCCATAATGCCAGGTCATTCTTTGAAAACATGGCAATCCCAAGTTACACATCTGTAATAAGATTTATACCAACCAGATCTTGCACCATCAGAACTCTTCTGTTGAAACCAGTGTCATCTAGTTTGTCAACTCGATACATCAATAAGAAATTCTCCCATGGCCAAAACTATTAGTAATATTACCAAAAGGCAAATGAAAAGCCGAGTTAACTGGGAGGAAATTACGCAACTATGTAAGCAGAAACATTCTCATTTCAAAAAGCTCATTATGACAGATCAAAACTTTGAAAGTAATGTTCACGTTTAACAGGGTCCACTGCGAAGAATTTTGTTCCTTTAAATGTATTTCAAATGTGTTGGAATGAAGTTAATTCTTGGGAGTACATAAAAAAAGGAAAGAATGACGAGTGACAACTCGGTGATTTAGTACTTATAAATGTTTCTTAAAACTTGGCCATTGTCATTCTCCCAAGTTAACCAAAGAAACTTAAAATTAAAATACAGTAGTCAACCAGGACTACTTATCTTTTATAAAATTTAGAAGACAAATCAGTTCATCTTGATTTAAAACCCTGTACAAGATCATACTGTATATAGAAGCAACACTAAAATGTTAGGAATGAAAAATTTGATTACACAAAGCATTAGCTTTAGTTTTTAAAAGTTGATCTCATTTTCTCTAGAAATAATGAATACCTTAATGTAAATGATTTACAAAATTACCTAACAAAACATTGTCTGCTGGCATAAAACTTAACTGTATCCATGAACTATATATATATATATACACACACACTACATTTCCAAGGTGAACTGATTTGTATAGCCAAACAATTTAGTGGTGTTTCTGGAACTGCATCACGGTCAGCTTTAAGATCAGCAGTATCAGCTCTGCTGTTAGTCCACCAGCTACTCTGCAGGAACCGACAGCAGCAGCATCAACCAGCCACTCAGCCACTGCGACTGACTGCCCGCCCGGTAGACACTCAGCATACCACACAGCTAACATTACTGCACTGCATTTATTACCCCTTTACCGCTCCTATAGCATGGGGAAATGAGAAAAAGCATTGTTAATACAGGTACTGAAATTTATTGAATGGTAAAATGTACTAAAATTGATACCATCTAAATGCAAATGTTACATGCGACAAAAATACACAATGATCATAACCAATGGAGTGAAAAAGACTTCTATAGTAATGTGTGACATATCCTTATCATTATGTCTCTAAATTGTCAATTGCACTAAAAAATACCAAATTCAAGACAATTTCAATTAATTTGTCCTTGAAATTTGCATTACTGATCAGTCTCAATGTCAATGAAAAGTTCAGAAGAGACAATAACCTTTTGACAATTTCTGCAAAGGACACATTATCACGGGCAAGGTTTATTCGAGGAACTGGAATGGCCGCATCACGACACTGGAGTCCCTTGCTACAGCAACAGCTCAGTTCCTCTGATCCATTCCATTCTCTTTTGCTGATCCACCTGATGCATCAGACCTTGCATGTGAAGGCGACCTCGACCTTTCTTTTTCATTGCTTCTGCTCCTGCTCTTACTTCTGCTCCTGCTCTTGCTGCGACTTCTACTTCGGCTTTTGCTGCGACTCCTACTTCGGCTTTTGCTGCGACTCCTGCTCCTACTTCTACTACGACTATATGAACGACTCCTTGATCGGCTTCTTGACCCACTAGACCGCCTTCTTCGTCTTCCTGATCGTGATCTTGACCGTGAGCGGGATCTGAAACATTACAAATACATCATGTTACAAAGATGTTAAATACACAGTTGAAATGAAAAAAAACAATGATCAAACCTATACTAGCCGAATAGGGAATATTCATTTTACCTTAATTATTGCAATTTGTCTTAGAACAATGTTACAAGAATGATGCATCTCTCAGACTGAATAACGGTGTTGATGTTTGACTAGAAACTAGCTGCATGGGTGCATCGCATTAATATTCAGTGTTCATTGTTTTGTCTACATCTATCAATACTACCTGCTGTATCTTGAGCGTCGGCCATGACGGCTTGGTGGAGCGCGCCTGTAAGGATCTACTGGTCTGCCATAGCGTGCCATTTGCACACGTATTTCTCTGCCATCCATAATTGCTCCATCCATAGAGTCCATTGCATCTTCGGCATCACGCTTATCATAAAATCGAACAAAGGCAAAACCTCTGCTTTCCCGCGTAAAGCGGTCACGAGGGATGTACACATCTCCTACGTCGCCATATTTCTCGAATGCTCTTCTCAGATCTTCTGGGGTTGTTCTGTATGTTAGGTTATCAACTTTGAGGGAGCTCATTCCCTCAATAGCTGGGGGTCCTCTTCCATAACTCATGGCTACAAAATGTCACAACCAAAAACGGAAACAACCATTTACTGCGTTGATATTGTTCAAACCGCGTGGTTTCGCTCCTTGTCCACCGGGCTTCCAAACTGGTTTGAACTGGATTTATACTCTCGCACTCCTTTATCTGACCGTATACATATTTATTCAGGCCAACCTGAATTACGCCCCCTTACACGCAGCTCCCTCGTACATTGTGGTGGATTTTTATGTAAACACTTGTACAGGTTTTATGAATGGTTAAAAGGGGGAAGCTGTAGCGTTTTATTAATGTATAATTTCTTTTTACTAAAACTGTTATCGTTATTGGTGTGTATTGTAGAAATGATTAAAATGAAGTTATGATGCAATATAAATATTACTTTCTTATCTTTACGGAAATCACCGATATACATAAGTCATGTGATAACACAAGAACAAGATGGCGACTGGTGGATGCGATGTTCGCCTTTACAACATAATAATTCTTGGACTGTCGTTTATGTTTATATTTACTGCGTTCCAGACATGTTCTATGGTAGAGGTAAGGCGAGCGTTATTAGATGTTTTTGATCTTGTTCATGGGTTTTCTTGTCAACAGGCACGCCATTCCAGCCGACCGCACTGCTCGGTCAGGGGGTGTTGTTCAGTGTTTGTTTTGATTCTGACAACCTCCTGCGCACAATATATGGAAATAGAAAGCAACTGCAACCGATCCAACTTTCCTTGGCAACAATGCAGTTTACCGGGCGCAGCTTATATAGGACTAACTGGCACAGATTTCCTACTGTGGTTCTGGCTTCACGGATCTTACGTGCGTCTTCGATTCTTAGGCACGTTAGGTTTTTAGTAGGTTGCACCTTAATTGTATTTCGTCTGTACAAAAAGGCCCGTGGCCTACAAGTACCAAAGAATAAAGTGAATTAGGTTACACCCAACTCTATTCATAGCCCTTGGATCCTCTTTCCGATCAAGCATACCTATACTAACACTAGGGTTGGGATGTCCCTTTCTGATCAAAGACACTTCACGATCCTTACGGTTGGAAACCCTTGGCAAATCAAACAACCCCTTGGATCCTTAGGGCTAGCCATGGTACCCCTTTACGATCTTAAGGGTCGATGGCTTAGCTACCTTACATCTTTTATCAAAAAATAAAAATGGAATTTGAAAGAAAATCTGAAAATATTTCTCAATTTTTGTGGAAAGACATTACTAATATTATTGTATGTGCAACAAGGAAAACAATCTGGTGTTGATCACTAAGTAAACGCGTGCTATTTATTTGTGATAGTGCCTGGGATCCTGTGGCCTACCTTTAGAATAAGAAGTACATTTGTACCACAAACTGTATTCTGAAGGTGCTTCACTTTTAATGCATCTGTTTCATATGGATAACCAGTGTCATATAACTGACAAGATAATCTTTCAAACAATTTGAAAGGGGCACTTATCTTAGGCAACTAGTTGGTTCTGTGTCATTTCATGTCCTGGTAGTTTGGTTACTCTCAGGTCGTCTCATTACCAGGGTTTGTTTATACATCATCAGGGGGTATGGGTGGCCTAGTTGTCTAAGGCGCTGCAAATTGTTGTGCAGAGTTGCATCCAATGGGCACGCCAGAAACCTATGATAGTGAGTTCAAATCCTGGTTCACCCTGATTATATTTATAGGCTTTCAACCGACCCGTGAAGATCTGGGTTAGAATGGGTCTTCAGCAACCCATGCTTGCCGCAAAAAGCGCCTCATAATTAAGGCTGGCTATCGTTACAGATTTTAGAGTTTGATGATCGTTAACTAAATATCAATAACTTATCAGTAAATATCAGAGAAGTAACTTGAAACAAATACACACAAAAATTCCGAAAGGAATCAACATATTTCACTTGTGGACATTAAAGGTATAACAAAAACAGTTACTGGGTACTTTCCATCCTCGGTAATTGACATGATTGACAATAACATGTCTGTTTTGGTAAATCTAAACTTTTTTCATCTCAACAGTTTATGAAATATATTATTGATGACATAATTTTCATTTCAATAATCGTTGATATTTCTTCCCATCAACAATAATTCTGATTATAGGTATTTTTTTGCCATCCCTACACATGGTTCACTTGGTATATTCAACTAAACTGTAACTATCCAGGTCGACATTAATTATTCGGCGCTAACGGAAAGTCCTGTATTTGTATAAAAGTCCTTATATTATAAATCCTGGTTTCAAAATGACCTAAGGGATATAAAAGTACCAGGTTACAAAATGACACATGAGATCCGAAACTACTAGGCAATAAAATGTAGGTGTGAAATTGCTAAGAATATGAAAAACCCACACACTTGCCTGCCACCATATTCCATCAAATATTTGCATATGTTGGGGGCAATGGCAAAAAGTAGGAATTCTCATATTATTGCCATGGAAACCATTCTTGACCTAACAAAGAAATAGTTGGTAGAATGGTTCAGGCAAAGTTTCCCCATTCTACATTTTTTTGATACAGGAGAAAATAGCGAAACAAGGTCACACTTCCCACAGATGATGGGCCACCAATTTGACTAGTTTGTCAATTTGTAAATCTTATCCATAAGAATCACAGGACACAGGCCTTAAACTGTGTGTGGATGGTAATGACTATTGGAAGATCCAAGTTGTTCAACATGTTCAAGACATCACTATTTGCACTCAACATGCAAATCGAAACAATGTGGCGAAAATACACTGGGTTTTGTTTTGACATGATTTTCAATTTCAAAGCTGTCAAACAGCATGTTTGTATTTCATTATTACAGATAACAGATATAGGTTAATAATATCAAGCTATGTAATGTAGAATAGGATGGAGGTCAATCTCATTCATCTTATCATCCTTACAATTAGAATTCAATTTCACTATCGGTATATGTTTCAATCAAACTGCAATGGTTAGGGGTATTTCAACAAACAGCATCTGGTGAACCTCCACTGTTGTTGTTATCTGTTTGTTTATGTTAAAGAAATTAATTAGCGTTACCCCTTTGTATCATAGAAATCTTCATGTAGCTAACTAGTGTTCAGGAACCACTGACTCCAACTCATTTCCTGTAGACATTATTTTCTCCTAAGTTTTTGTTTCCTTAAATGCAATTGTCTTTAAACACTGTATTCGATATGATATTGTAAAGCAAAGCATTAAAACATCTTCCTCTATTTTGGTTCAGTTATCTGCAAAATTCACCAACCTGCAAAGCCTAGTCTGCCTCAGTCCCTGAACCATATCATTTACCTTCCGCCCAGTCCTTTCTGTAATGCAAAAGCTTGAAATGAAGCAAGTCTAGATTTTTCTCAGGGTCAGGCTGAATCTCCCATTTCACTGGGGCTCCTTTTCAATTTAAATGGAGTTAATTCTTTGTATCAAAATTTTATATTTAAGCGTTTCTATGTGCAAAGCCATAACATTAGTTTTAACTATGATAATGTGAATGGGAAATTTTTAATTATAATTTGGTAATTGTTACTGACATTAGTTGTTGATTTAACCAAATATTGGGCTCTTGGAAGGTATAGATAAAATCCGACCGCTCCATCTTAAAAAAAAAATAACAACTGTAAACATTGTACAGATATGAAGTAACTTATTTTGTCACTTTTTTAATTAAATGCAGTGTGTGAGTCTTTTACCACCGAATGCAACTTATAAAGAGAACAAGGCCTTCTCAGGTCAGGTATTGTTAAAACACTAAGTCTGCTACACATTGAATAGTATTAAGTGTTAATTTAATGGACAGACCAAACGACTTCATGATAAATAAAGTATAATGCACGTGTACATTGAGCTATACAAATTTATTTTATTTTTAGTTCGACCAACCCAAGCTAAATGGTAGCAAATTTTGTAAACGATAAAATTAAAAAGTCGGCCTTGTTTCCGTTGTCACATGATGAGGCAGGTTCTATTTCTGTTCAATAGTATTGTTCCAAAACATCTTTCACCTGACACTAGTGTAAGCAGTGACAGCCCTGGTGAGTCATGTGGCCAGTTGTAAATATAGTATTGTTTATGACTCGCAACAGTCCTAATGGAGTCCAAAGTTCTGTCTTCCCTATATCTCTATTTCACATGAAGATGAGGAATAGTAAGAATCAGCTAGTTATTGGAAAAGGATTTTCTTAATTACCAATTCAAGGAATTAATTTTACCAGATACTTTCCTGCCTATTTGTTTTCTTTGCTGTCATTTGACAACTGACATTGATATGACCTTTTGCACTTTGCCCAAGCCCTTAATACTTTTCTCAGAATGCTCATTTAGCTGGCCTATGGCATGAGTGTTTCTTGCAATCATGGCACCAGAGTTGGTTCATCTTCCAGTTGTTGTTATCTGACCATTAACAACCAGGAAATCTGGGTACAATGGGTCCCAAGCAACCTGTCCTAGTTGTAGAAGGTGACTTGATGGATCGGGTGGTCAGGTTCGCTGACTTGGTTGATGACGTGACAATGTACCCCACAGCATGGATCGTTGCTCACGATATCAATCACTGCATGGCTGTCTTATTTACAGGTTGTTGTCATATAGCTGAAATGTTGCTGAGTGTGGCGTTAAACAAAAAACACAAACCATATTGTATATATTTTGAGTTTGTAACATACTAAACACTGCAATATGTAACATGTTACATGTTATGCTTTTTACAGTGTGTCTAGTATACGACACCAGCTACACAATCATCTGAAGTTTCAATATGTTGCCACAAGGCTGCACTGAAAATGTGTGTGAATTATAAATGCTCTTAGTGGATTCAAGTTAGAAATCCCTGGTATTAATGTGCCAGTGGCATGGCTAAAATCATAATGGCACTGGTAAAGTTGACAGTGTCTTTAGGGCACATCTAGAAATCATATATTTATAAAATTTATATCCATGTGATGACTTTTATTGTATAAAGCCAGTGATAAATGTGCTTTCAGAAAATTAAACTGGATAAACACGTGGGAAATGATGAACTCATGAATGTTCTTAATGAACAGATTTTTAAGCAACATATGACTTTTTTAATTGAAAAACATTTTTCTGGTTGACACACTAAGTTCCAAAGGGAAAACCTATTTCTAGCAGTGGTAAGATTTTCTCCTTTATATTGATGTTTCACCAGACATAGTACAATACAGTTTGGCTGAGTTTATCAAGTTTTTGTATACAGAGGTTTTCAAACTTAATTCTTCTTTCCCCACACACAATAGAAGTATCAAGCCTATTTTAGCTATCCTGAACAATATTCCAAATATTTTCTTTTGAATATATTATTTTTTCTTGGGTATTGCTGAAATAGTTTTGAAAATTAGTTACTTCCATAACTATTATCTATTAGAATTCTATATGTTTTGTACATAGGACATCTGTGCTGATAGCTGCATATCTTTGTTGACATTTTCAACTAATGACTATATCCAGCTGAGCTAGAGTGATCAGCATGGGATGTTTTTGTATGTACTGACGGTTTCTTGTGATGCCATAAAATCCACTAGTCTTACTCTTAACTGAGGTTTGTGGGTATAACTCACAGTGTCTGTGGCATTATATATACATCATTCTTGTACTGACAGTTTCTTGTGATGCTATAAAAGCCACTAGTCTTACTCTTAACTGAGATTTGTGGGTATAACTCACAGTGTCTGTGGCATTATATATACATCATTCTTGTGTTGCAGAAAACAGTACTGGACAGTGTCGGCAAGTCAAACAATGACACTAACAACACATTTTCTGGAAATGGCTACACAAGGTGTGTGACTATTTTATGAAATGGACTTATGGTATAATCCAGTTATTATCTTCATTTGAAAGCTGGCTTGTATTGGCATAGCACTAATTACTGTTTTAAGAAGAAAATGTGTTAAAAAATCAAACTATGAACATACCCTACCCACCCCATTTTGTGATGGATTTCATTAGGAAACACTCCTATTGTTTTTTGGGCCATATCCAATATGTTGTGTTTCGATGACTTAATTGATTCCTGTTTTTCAGCCTGGGTATCATCTATGGAGTATTCTCCCTGTCCAACTGGGCTGCCCCATCTTTTGTCAGTTACGTAGGCCCAAAACTGTCCATGATCATCGGAGCAGTGTTGTATTTGTAAGTGTCATGTTTATTATTTTTGTATGGATTGATCAATATTCAAATTTTTGTGACATAAGGATGTGATTCATGGGAAAATAAGGGTGTGAATCATGGTGATATGAGTGTGTGAATCATGGTAATATATGGGTGTGAATCATGGTAATGTAAAAATGAATCATGGTAAAAAAATCGTGTGAATCATGGTAATATAAGGGTGTGAATTATGGTAATATAATCGAATCATGGTAATATAAGGGTGTGAATCATGGAAATATGAGGGTATGAATTGTGGTAACATATGAGTGTGATTTATGGTAATATAAGGGTGTGAATTACGGTAATATGAGGATGTGAATCATGGTAACATAAGGGTGTGAATCATTGTAATACAGGGTTAGAAACTAACAGTTTTTGTCCACTAGTCCTGACAATGATAACATATAGCAAAACCCTTAAAATGGTCCAATTTTAACTAGTCTTTAGGATACCTTTACTATTGGGCAGTTTGGTAAGGACTACAGGACTAGTGCCAATTTCTAATGCTGGTAATATAAGGATGGGAATCATGGTAATATAAGGGTGTGAATCATGGTAATATGAGAATGGGAATCATGTTAACAAAAGGGTTTGAATTATGGTAATATAAAGGAATCATGGTAAGATAAGGGTGTGAATTATGGTAATATAAGGGTGGGAATCATGGTAATATTATTAGGGAATCATGGTAATATAAGGGTGTGAATTATGGTAATATGAGGGTGTGAATCATGGTAACCTAAGGGTGTGAATCATGGTAATATAAGGGTGTGAATCATGGTAATATAAGGGTGGTAATTATGGTAATATAAGGGTGTGAATCATGGTAACATAAGGGTGTGAATCATGGTAATATAAGGGTGTGAATTATGGTAATATGAGGGTGTGAATCATGGTAATATAAGGATGGGAATCATGGTAATATAAGGGTGTGAATTATGGTAATATAAGGGTGTGAATCAGGGGTCCGGAAACCGTCATATGCGCCGGACATGTCCGATTGGGAATCTCAAATGTCCGGTTTAAAATATTGCTTACCGGACATTTAAATTTTTCTATCCGGACATTTTAAAAAGTATTGTCCGGACATTCTTAAATTTTGACCGGACATGATCAACAGTTAGGACTGAGCAGTTTCTGTCTGCAGTTGTAACACAATGAAGATTATCTACACTGACAAGCTTTGTTTGTTTTGATTGCTGTAAATACATCGTACCTACATGATAGTCCAATCGGTCAATCACTGTAATAGGCAATAAACTGAGTTGACACTGATTAATCGGGGATTAATTACTGAGAACATCTTGTTAATTTGAGTGAAAGGTGTTTACAACTGTACATAAATACCTTCCATCATCGATGTACCTCAAACATCGATGTACCCAAACATAGCTAAAACTACCACACTAGCATACATACACGAAAATTGGCCAAATTGGTGTCACATTTACACGGACGGATCCTCAGATCCGACCTCCAAACACACAAGTTTCGGAGTCCATACCACACAACCAACTAAAACCACACAATCCTTCCGACTCCCAAACAACCAATCAATATTCACGGCAGAACTAATGGGCATGGCCTCAGCCCTCCACAGTCAAGAATCCAAAAAACACAAAAAAATCCTAATACTTACCGACTCCCTAAATGGACTGCAAGCCCTCCAAAACAAAAATACCCAAAACCGACCTAAATTAATAAATCAAATACTTAAAAGCTCCAACGACCTAACTAAGGCAGGCAAACAAATAACCTTCTTGTGGATACCCGCCCACGTAGGAATATACGGTAATGAAAACGCCGATAAAGCAGCTAAACTATCCCTCAAAATCCCAGAAATAAGCTTAAACTTACCCATCTCAAAATCAGAAATTAAAAGTGTAAACAAGCAAAAAATCACAAAAAAATGGTTTAACCTATATCTAAACTCAAATAGCCAAATCAAAAAAGTGCTCAGCAAACCACTAACCAAACCAAAAATTCTCCATCCATCCAAAAAAATCGACAGTAATCACTAAACTCCAAACAGGACACACCAACCTAAATAACCACCTAAATTTTTTTAAAAAACACACTACAGGTAACTGCCCACACTGCAAACAACCAGAAACCCCAGAACACGCACTCATCCACTGCACACACTACCTTACACATCGAACCGCATTACAAACCACCCTCAATCTAAACAAGGCTCTAACTCTAGAAGCAATACTAAACCCACAAAATAAACTAGAAAACTTCAAGGCCCTAGGCGTATTCTTAATAAAGACGGAACTAATAAAACGCATCTTAAAACACAATAACCTACCAAATCAAAATCACATAAACAAACAAACATCCACCATACCCAGCTCCCTTAGTTCTCCTCCCCAATCCCATCGGCATCTATTCCAAATCTCAAAATTCCCAAATTCTATATAAGCAACCCCTAAAAACCCCCTCTTGGGTTGCACAGACCACTTTCGCCCCTTTCGGAAACACATTAAATGGCCTGGCCGGGCCCGTGTGCGAAATACGCATCAGTCGGAAAGCGCACGTTAAATCTCCAAAGTAAGTAAGTAAGTAAGTAATGTACCTCATTATCCTCACAATGCTACGATACATAACCTCAGACAAGTAGCGAAAGCGTGACGACAGCCAGTCGACCGATGCAGATCAGTCGAGCGGATCTGCCAAACCCTCAAAGTCTGGACGATCATTGGTAAGTCGTGGCTAACGACTTTCACTTGGTTGACATACAATGAGGATTTGAGATTTTATTGTTTTCAGTAGCTAGTCGTATATTGAATCTTGATTGACCGCCATTTTGCTTTCTGCGACGATCGATATCATTTTTTTATGGTCAATATTTAAGTACAGATGAAAAAAGTATTCAAATAACTATTGCTATCAACGATTTTTTGATATTTGTGATTATATTATCTGTCTTGTTTTTAAATAATCTTTAGTTTAAAAAAAACCTTTTCCCGTGAGGTCACGTGATAACCAAATATGGGATAATAGTCTCGATCCAAATGTTACAACGCGTACACTTGTGCAGACTCATAAATATAACTCATGAATATTAATTAGACCATTCACTACGTTAACAGATCGTTATTATAACAGAAACCATCGTATGTTTTCCATGTATATCTAAAATGATATTATTTGTTATTAATTGTCCGGTGAATTAAACAATTTAAATTAAAACAATTCATAATTGATTATATTATGAATACGTAACAACTTGTAATGTGTGTGTGAAAAGTCGTCCTAAAATACACTATTTGAAGGGGGCGTGGCCTAAATGCAAATGTCCGATTGGGATTTTAAATTTTCCGGACCCCTGGTGTGAATCATGGTAATATTAGGGAATCATGGTAATATAAGGGTGGGAATTATGGTAATATGAGGATGTGAATCATAGTAACATAAGGGTGTGAATCATGGTAATATAAGGATGGGAATCATGGTAATATAAGGATGGGAATCATGGTAATATGAGGATGTGAATCATGGTAATATGAGGATGTGAATCATGGTAACATAAGGGTGTGAATTATGGTAATATAAGGGAATCATGGTAAGATAAGGGTGTGAATTATGGTAATATAAAGGTGGGAATCATGGTAATATTAGGAAATCATGGTAATATAAGGGTGTGAATTATGGTAATATGAGGGTGTGAATCATGGTAACATAAGGGTGTGAATCATGGTAATATAAGGGAATATGGTAAGATAAGGGTGTGAATTATGGTAATATAAGGGTGTGAATCATGGTAATATTAGGGATTCATGGTAATATAAGGGTGTGAATTATGGTAATATGAAGGTGTGAATCATGGTAATATAAGGATGGGAATCATGGTAATATAAGGGAATCATGGTAATATAAGGGTGGTAATTATGGTAATATAAGGGTGGGAATCATGGTAACACTAGGGAATCATGGTAATATAAGGGTGTGAATTATGGTAATATAAGGGTGGGAATTATGGTAATATATGGGAATCATGGTAATATAAGGGTGGGAATCACAGTAATATAAGGGAATCATGGTAATATTGGGTTTGGAATCATGGTAATATGAGGATGTGAATCACAGAAATATGAGGGTGTGAATCATGGAAATATGAGGATATGAGTCATGGTGATATGAGAGTGTAAATCATGGTAATATGAGGGTGTGAATCATGGTAATATGAGGGTGTGAATCATGGTGATATGAGGGTGTGAATCATGGTGATATATGGGTGTGAATCATGGTGATATCAGGGTGTGATTTGTGGTAATATGAGGGTGTGAATTATAGTAATATGAGGTTGTGAATCACAGAAATATGATGGTGTGAATCATGGTAATATAAGGGTGGGAATCATGGAAATATAAGGATGTGAATCATGGTAATATGAGGGTGTGAATCATGGTAATATGAGGATGTGAATCATAGTAATATGATGGTGTGAATCATGGTAATATAAGGGTGGGAATCATGGAAATATAAGGATGTGAATCATAGTAATATGAGGATGTGAATCATGGTAATATGAGGGTGTGAATTGTGTTCTGAAAATTTGGAGAAAAAAGTGAGCTTCCTGATCACAAGAGAGACATCAGTTTAGTCAATCTGTTGTTGAAGTGATGCCTTGAACAATGGATGATGTCATTGTTAATTGTTTGGGACAATGTGTTAATATGCTGCCATGTTGCTAGGGGCCGCTTCATGAACAGTAAAATGGCCGATCAGCATGAAGCAGAATTTTTTGTTTTCTGTGAGAAAGACTGAGAATAACATCACTGATGTCCTAGCCACTGTGGGTAATATTGTACTGCACTCATTAAAGATTAATAAAATCATGATGCTTTTTGTTGACTGGATAAGTGAGCACAATGATATTTGTTTCAGTCTGTTTATCCTCTCGTTTCTGAAACCCATGGAATGGGCTCTGTACCTGGGGTCAGCGCTGGTTGGATTCGGGGCAGCGAGTAAGTTGCCATTTACAGCAGAATGAATCAATGAAGTTGCATGCAGTGGCCGAAAACAACTGGTGGGAGTTGCCACAAGATGGCTGCCCTTGCAAAACAACCACCAGTTTTTGTTTTTGATCTGGAATCTTTATTTAATATTTTGATGAATTAAAGTATTTGTATTTTGTGTAAGCGAAGAGATTGGTATATCGATTGTTAAATGATTTGATTATTTGTTATCTATCAGAGATTGAGATGTGCGCTGTCCTACAGTTTTCAATGGCTAACATTTCTAACAGGTCCATCCATAGCCCTGAGAAGTGACATAGAGAAAACTGATAAAAAACAAGGAACGGAGGAAGAGTCATCTTATTGCATGAAAAATTGGGAATTGTTTCTTAAGAAATAGTTTTGAATTAGAACATTTATAAGTATGTATATAGAATTTTGGATGTTTTTTGGTATATGTTAGTGACCACCTCAAAGGTGATATGGCTTGCAACACTTGAGGTGTTACCCAAGCTTGAATCCTTGTGACCTGCAGAATGGGTTATAACATACTTAAACAACGTGGGCTATGTAAGGGATCAGTTCAACAGTTCATTATAGGATAAAAAGATTAATTCCTTGAGTTTTGAGACAACCCTCTCCCCCCCAAAAAACAAAACAATGGACATGAGACACCCTAGTGGTATGAAAAAACAACCCACAAACCTAAAATAAGCTTTTATTTAATAAACTACTTTTAGTGCTCAAATAATTTGGATGTCAGAACTTTTGATGATGAAGTGCTGCTTTTGTTTCCAGTTTTGTGGACAGCCCAAGGATCAACATTGACAACAAATTCTGACACAGAGACAGTGGCTCGGAACAGTGGTATATTCTGGGCTCTGCTGCAGTGCAGGTACATGTCGTAGGCCCCACACAAGCAAACATTCTCTATTCCAAGGGATTGAAAAGGGATCGAAACATAGCTGGGACCTTAGTTTGATGAAAGTGATGGGCTGTGAGGTAGCAACCTTGAGTAAGGTAGAGACATTGCATTGACTTGGATGTTAATGAGGGAGCTATGAGGTAATTATAATGGTGTTTGTACTTGTAGGTTATCAAGAGTTTTGAGGATCTGCATGAATGGGGGAAATTAAGGCCAAACAAATTTGTTGTCTTGTTTTATTGATCATCATTTTGGCAGAAGACACAATATAGAGAAAATGTTGTCAAAGATGATTTGAGGATAATGTCTTGAAAGCAATTATTATGATCAGCAAATTGGTTGAATGTTTCAGTCTCCTGTTTGGGAATATGTACAGCTATTTTGTGTTCAAGTCCAAGAGCGAGGTGACAGACATTGAAAGAACCGATCTGTTTATTGGTTTGAGTTCTGCAGCGCTGCTAGGAGTCCTCTGTCTGTTTCTCATCCGAAAAAAGCGACCATCTGATGCTGAAAATCTGGTCAATCTGAATTCCAGGTAACAATGTGTCCTTCACTGTTTAGAATGTTTCTTGAAGACCTCATGAAAATTCAGAGTAGAAATGGTTGTCAGTACCAGTCAGGTTCCAGTCAGATTACTTTATACAATGACACTATGTCAACTCACAACTGACACAATCTTTGCCACACCATGGTCTAATATTGACTTGTCTCAAACTACAGATGACTTAATTTACAGTAAACTACGGTAATAATGGTCACGCTCATAATGAACTAACAGATATGACAAGCTGTTGTTTAGGTCCCGACCATTTGCTGTTTATTTTAGACAAAATTCTTATGTCAAACTATGTTATAACAAACTACAATTAGTGGTCCCTTTGAGTTCGTTATAACCGTAGTTACTGTATTTGCAATGTCTGTAATGGCCTCACATGAAACCCCACTGATATATGTGCATCTGTTTCATGTTTCAGTGGTTCACACAGTGCAGACACAGCTCTTTCTGCTCTCAGTGAGTATTCTTAATTGTATGTAAGAAATAAACGACTTGTAATCGTTGTTTGTTGCTGCGCCCCTCATGGTTTATTCTTCCATTGTTTTATTGTACAATTAACAAATCCCACTAGTCGTTTATTTCTTTAATAAAGTTCACTTTTTGAGTTACATCGTTATGGAATGACTTCATGATGCTATTCAAATTACCTCCCCCGTGAATTAACGTATCCTTGGTAACATCGTTCTTTCATTGCTGTCAAGCAAGATGGCCCATCCACATTAATTTTCGGTGAAAAACAATGTAGTTTCGTTTAACTTGTCTGATTTATGAATATTATTACATTGGAAGAAATTTGGCAAGATGATGTCAACCTTCTCTCATGCCGCAGTCTTATCACAAACATATTCAAACCACTGTGTCCATGCCATAGCAGCCACTAAATTGTCAGAGGCTGGCGCTGGTACCTGTGAATTATGTCTGTCTCTGGACAAAGGAATGGCTTAACTGCAGTTTATCCCAAGGAATATGATGGTGGCTGTAGAGTAGCAAGGTGTTTTAACATTCTGATCAATACTGAGTTGACATTTTGTACCTGTTGTTTGTTTTCCCACGATTTCTCCATTATTTGAATGCCTTCCTTCATATGATTCTACCGTGAATGTAACTGTCGTGAAGGACAATGTAAGGACAGAAGTTGGTATGAGAGCTGAGAGAGCAGACATTTGATGGTTATTGACTATTGTCATGGGACAAGCACATTGATCCTTCATATTGATCAGCAAAAAGATGTGACTGTCACAGGACAATAACACACACTGATATTGATCATCATGTGACTGTCACAGGACAGTTGGTCACGTTGATATTTTCATGGGTTTGATAATGAAATAGTCCATACTTCTTGTATTGCATTTGTCTAAGCGTAACCTGACTTTTTGAATCAGGCAATTTTAATATATTATGTTTGAACATTAATCTCATGTAATTTTGTTTTGTTCACCAGTGTTTGAAATAATTTTAGTGACCCATAAGTGTTGCCTGCCTTCCTCAAAACAACCTGCCCACAATCAGACATTATTTAATATTTAAAATTTGAAAAAGAGAGAGACAATTTGGGTCTTGATTCAGTTGAAATAATGCAAACAATCACTTGAGAATCTACAAGGAATCATAATTGAACTGAATTGTAAGTACAGTGTTCCCTCGCTATTGCACTTGTCGATATAGCCCTAACTCAGTTATAGCACACTGCTGCGCCTGGTAAAGCATGGCTCCCAAAATTTACTAACATATACTCAAGTTTTCTAATGACACAATGTTTTCCCCCATCTCAGAAAACATTATCAGCTGATCACCGCTGTAAGGTTTAATTTATCTGCCAGTCGGCCAGGTGAAGGAAAATTTCATGCAGCCTGACAGAAAACTTACCAGCCTCAGGCAGACAGGCAAGAAGTTATTTCAGACGCTGCTGTTAACCTTTAATTTGCTTATACATGTGTATGTATCAATTAATAATTATTTCTTTTTATTTCTGACAGAACGGTCACTGCAGCTCCTGAAGACAAAAGAAATGATCTACTTGAGCTTCACATTTGCATACACTGGTAAATAATGTCCATTCACTGGTAAATAATGGCGATACACTAGTTAATAATGTTGATACACTGGTAAATAATGTCCATACACTGGTTAATAATGTTGATACAATGGTAAATAATGTCCATACACTGGTTAATAATGTTGATACAATGGTAAATAATGTCCATACACTGGTTAAAAATGTTGATACACTGGTAAAAAAAGTCCATACACTGGTTATTAATGTTGATACACTGGTAAATAATGTTCATACACTACTTAATAATGTCCATACATTGGTAAATAATGTCCATACACTGGTAAATAATGTCCATACACTGGTAAATAATGTCCATACACTGGTTAATAATGTCAATACACTGGTAATAATGTCCATACACTGGTCAATAATGTCGATACACTGGTTAATAATGTATATTCACTGGTACATAATGTCCATACACTGGTACATAATTTCCATACACTGGTTAATAATGTCCATACACTGGTACATAATGTCCATACACTGGTAAATAATGTCCATACACTGGTTAATAATGTCAATACACTGGTAAATAATGTCCATACACTGGTAAATAATGTTGATACACTGGTTAATAATGTATATTCACTGGTATATAATGTCCAGTCATTGGTAAAAAAACACATCAATACACTGGTAAATATGCCGATACACTGGTTAATAATGTCCATACACTGGTACATAATGTTGATACACTGGTACATAATGTCCATACACTGGTTAATAATGTTGATACAATGGTAAATAATGTCCATACACTGGTTAATAATGTTGATACAATGGTAAATAATGTCCATACACTGGTTAAAAATGTTGATACACTGGTAAAAAAAGTCCATACACTGGTTATTAATGTTGATACACTGGTAAATAATGTTCATACACTACTTAATAATGTCCATACATTGGTAAATAATGTCCATACACTGGTAAATAATGTCCATACACTGGTAAATAATGTCCATACACTGGTTAATAATGTCAATACACTGGTAATAATGTCCATACACTGGTCAATAATGTCGATACACTGGTTAATAATGTATATTCACTGGTACATAATGTCCATACACTGGTACATAATTTCCATACACTGGTTAATAATGTCCATACACTGGTACATAATGTCCATACACTGGTAAATAATGTCCATACACTGGTTAATAATGTCAATACACTGGTAAATAATGTCCATACACTGGTAAATAATGTTGATACACTGGTTAATAATGTATATTCACTGGTATATAATGTCCAGTCATTGGTAAAAAAACACATCAATACACTGGTAAATATGCCGATACACTGGTTAATAATGTCCATACACTGGTACATAATGTCGATACACTGGTACATAATGTCCATACCCTGGTTAATAATGTCCATACACTGGTACATAATGTCCATACACTGGTTAATAATGTCCATACACTGGTTAATAATGTCCATACACTGGTTAATAATGTCCATACGCTGGTTATACTTTTGTTGATACACAGGTAAATAATGTCCATACACTGGTTAATAATGTCCATACTGGTTAATAATGTCCATACACTGGTAAATAATGTCCATCATTTGATAACAATTGTTTATGTAGTTGGTCTTTCACACAGCAATGCAAAGATTCCATAAACTGTTGAATAGTTTTGTTTTTTCATAAATGAACAAATCAGAATAAAAAGCTTTTTTCTTTACATCACAGGTTTTGGAAAGTGATGAAATTTATATCATTAGCGTTGATGAATGGTTTATTGATTGTAAGAGAGGAAATTTATGGATATCTTTTCTTTATTATGAGGAACACTACATTTCTTTTCCCCCCCTTTGATTTCTTATTACTTTTGTTGTTTTTACATGATATGCTCTCTGCATCCTAGCATTCATTCTGATGAAGGAGTAAGCATATACTCTAAATGTTGTGTTCCTCATAATATAGAAGTTGACTTCCATAAATTCTCTTCCTTTTATGTATCACTTCTAAATGCCTTTCAAAGACTTAATTGATAGGTAACTTATACTGTAATAACAGATGTTATTTGGTGGATTTTGTGTTTTTCAGGTTTAGAGTTGACATTTTTCAGTGGTGTGTATGGAACATGCGTATCCCACAACTTGCATTTCGGGGCGGAGAGAAACGGCCTCCTTGGTTTGTCAGGAATATTCATTGGAGTTGGGGAGATTTTAGGTAAGCTGGTTTGATGTCTAGATTGTCTACATCCTGTTATGAGACTGGAGACCGATGTAGGTGACCAGTATTGATGTCCCAATATTGGGTTACATTATGAGACTAGTGACCAATGTAGGTGACCAGTATTGATGTCCCAATACTGGGTTACATTATGAGACTAGTGACCGATGTAGGTGACCAGTATTGATGTCCCAATACTGGGTTACATTATGAGACTAGTGACCGACGTAGGTGACCAGTATTGATGTCCCAATACTGGGTTACATTATGAGACTGGAGACAGATGTAGGTGACCAGTATTGATGTCCCAATACTGGGTTACATTATGAGACTGGAGACAGATGTAGGTGACCAGTATTGATGTCCCAATACTGGGTTACATTATGAGACTGGAGACCGACGTAGGTGACCAGTATAGATGTCCCAATACTGGGTTACATTATGAGACTAGTGACTGATGTAGGTGACCAGTATTGATGTCCCAATACTGGGTTACATTATGAGACTAGTGACCGATGTAGGTGACCAGTATGGATGTCCCAATACTGGGTTACATTATGAGACACATGACCGATGTAGGTGACCAGTATAGATGTCCTAATACTGGGTTACATTTTGGTACATAATGTCCATACACTGGTACATAATGTCGACACACTGGTAAATAATGTCCATACACTAGTAAATAATGTCCATACACTGGTAAATAATGTCCATACACTGGTTAATAATGTCGATACACTGGTTGATAATGTCCATTCACTGGTACATAATATCCATACACTGGTACATAATGTCCATACACTGGTACATAATGTCCATACACTGGTTAATAATGTCCATACACTGGTTAATAATGTCCATACACTGGTACATAATGTCGACACACTGGTAAATTGTGTCCATAAACTGGTTAATAATGTCAATACACTGGTAAATAATGTCCATACACTGGTTAATAATGTCCAAACACTGGTAAATAATGTCGATACACTGGTTAATAATGTCAATTCACTGGTAAATAATGTCCAGTCATTGGTAAAAAAACGTCAATACACTGGTAAATATGTCGATACACTGGTACATAATGTCGATACACTGGTTAATAATGTCCACACACTGGTTAATAATGTCGATACACTGGTAAATAATGTCCATACACTGGTTAATAATGTCGATACACTGGTAAATAATGTCCATACACTGGTTAATAATGTCGATATACTGGTAAATAATGTCGATACACTGGTTAATAATGTCAATTCACTGGTAAATAATGACTGGAGACCGATGTAGGTGACCAGTATTGATGTCCCAATACTGGGTTACATTATGAGACTGGTGACCGATGTAGGTGACCAGTATTGATGTCCCAATACTTGGTTACATTTTGAGACTAGTGACAGATGTAGGTGATTAGTATAGATGTCCCAATACTAGGTAACATTATGAGACTTGTGACCGATGTAGGTGGCCAGTATAGATGTCCCAATACTGGGTTACATTTTGAGACTAGTGACCAATGTAGGTGACCAGTATGGATGTCCCAATACTGGATTACATTTTGAGACACGTGACCGATATAGGTGACCAGTATTGATGTCCCGATACTGGGTTACATTTTGAGACTAGTGACCAATGTAGGTGACCAGTATGGATGTCCCAATACTGGGTTACATTTTGAGACACGTGACCGATGTAGGTGACTAGTATTGATGTCCCAATACTGGGTTACATTATGAGACTGGTGACCGATGTAGGTGACCATTATTGATGTCTCAATACTGGGTTACATTATGAGACTGGTGATCGATGTAGGTGACCAGTATTGATGTCCCAATACGGCGTTTCATTTTGAGACTTGTGACCGATGTAGGTGACCAGTATTGATGTCCCAATACTGGGTTACATTGTGAGACACGTGACCGATGTAGGTGACCAGTATTGATGTCCCAATACTGGGTTACATTATGAGACTAGTGACTGATGTAGGTGAGTGAGTGAGTGAGTTGGGTTTAACGCTGCTTTTAACAGTATTCCAGTTATATCGCGATGTGTCAGCTTAATGTGGGAGGAAAGCCCGAAGTGATGCAGGTCTTAGACGTCCACTTCTGTGAAATTCATGAGCCAGGGTATGGTGCTGACAAAACTAGAAACATAATCGGGGCAAACAGGGATTCAAACCCACAATCATAGGTTTCTGGCGTGCCCAAGGGACGCAACTCTGCACAGCGAATCGCGGCGCCTTAGACGACTAGGCCACACGTGCCCTGGACCAATGTAGGTGACCAGTAATGATGTCCCAATCCTGGGTTACACTGTGAGACTGGTGACCGATGTAGGTATAGGTGTCCCAGTGCAGTACCCAGGGTAGAATAGGTCTTCAGCAACCCATGCTTGCCGTAACAAGCCACTAGGCGACACTTGTAAGAGGTGACGAATGGGATTGAGTGGTCAGGCTCGCTGACTTGGTGGATGCATGTCATTGTGCCCCAATTACATGGATGGATGCTCATGATATCAATCACTGGATTGTCTGTTTATTCAGACTGCAGTCATATAGCTGGAATATTGCGGAGTGTGGTGCTAAAGAACAAACGAAACAAACAAAACTAAAGTACAGCATGCAGTACTTGGGTACAGTACAGTACAGCATGCAGTACTGGGGTACAGTACAGTACAGCATGCAGTACTGGGGTACAGTACAGTGCAGAAAGCAGTACTGGGGTACAGTACAGTACAGCATGCAGTACTTGGGTACAGTACAGAAAGTAGTACTGGGGTACAGTACGGCATGCAGTACTGGGGTACAGTACAGAAAGTAGTACTGGGGTACAGTACGGCATGCAGTACTGGGGTACAGTGCAGTACAGCATGCAGCACTCTGGTACAGTACAGTGCAGCATGCAGTACTGGGGTACAGTACAGGTCAGAAAGCAGTACTGGGGTACAGTACAGTACAGCATGCAGTACTGGGGTACAGTACAGTACAGCATGCAGTACTGGGGTACAGTACAGTGCAGAAAGCAGTACTGGGGTACAGTACAGCATGCAGTACTGGGGTACAGTGCAGAAAGAAGTACTGGGGTACAGTGCAGTACAGCATGCAGCACTGGGGGACAGTACAGTGCAGCATGCAGTACTGGGGTACAGTACAGTGCAGCATGCAGTACTGGGGTACAGTACATTGCAGCATGCAGTACTGGGGTACAGTACATTGCAGCATGCAGTACTGGGGTACAGTACAGCATGCAGTACTGGGGTACAGTACAGGACGTCATGCAGTACTTCGGGACAGTACAGTGCAGCATGCAGTACTCGGGTACAGTACAGTACAGCATGCAGTACTGGGGTACAGTACAGTGCAGCATGCAGTACTGGGATTCTATCCTGTCCAGGAGACCAGGGAAAGCTCAGCTTTTAGTCAAACAGAATATTTTCCTCAAATGTAAAGGTTTGGTGTAATATTTACAATATGTTGTCATTTATTGTTTATAAGATATGACAGTCTACATGAAGGATGTTAACTACATGCATCATCATGATTGTCATTTTTTGCATCTTTGTCATCTTTCAGGGGGTGGCATATTTGGCCTGTTTGGCAAGAGAACCAACACACATGGCCGTGACCCAATAGTGTTGTTTGGCTATGTGCTTCATCTGGTGGCATTCTTCCTGATCTTCCTGAACATGCCCAACAACTCCTCCTTGACGGACTCGGCCGAGGCTACGTACATCGAGTCCAAGTAAGTACACCCAGTCCAAGTAAGTACACCCGGTACAAGTAAGTACACCCAGTACAAGTAAGTACACCCAGTACAAGTAAGTACACCCAGTACAAGTAAGTACATCCAGTCCAAGTAAGTACATCCAGTACATGTAAGTACACCCAGTACAAGTAAGTACACCCAGTACAAGTAAGTACATCCAGTCCAAGTAAGTACATCCAGTCCAAGTAAGTACATCCAGTACAAGTAAGTACATCCAGTACAAGTAAGTACATCCATAACAACTAAGTACATCCAGTCCAAGTAAGTACATCCAGTCCACGTAAGTACACCCAGTACAAGTAAGTACATCCAGTACAAGTAAGTACATCCAGTACAAGTAAGTACATCCAGTCCAAGTAAGTACATCCAGTCCAAGTAAGTACATCAAGTCCACGTAAGTACATCCAGTCCAAGTAAGTACATCCAGTACAAATAACTACATTGAGTCCAATTAAGTACATCCAGTCCAAGTAAGTACATCCAGTCCATGTGGGTACATCCGGTCCAATTAAGTACGTCCAGTACAAGTAAGTACATCCAGTACAAGTAAGTACATCCAGTACAATTAAGTACGTCCAGTCCAAGTAAGTACATCCAGTCCAAGTAAGTACATCCAGTACAAGTAAATACATCCAGTCCAAGTAAGTACATCCAGTCCAAGTAAGTACATCCAGTCCACGCAAGTACATCCAGTCCAAGTAAGTACATCCAGTACAAATAACTACATTGAGTCCAATTAAGTACATCCAGTCCAAGTAAGTACATCCAGTCCACGTAAGTACATCCGGTCCAAGTAAGTACGTCCAGTACAAGTAAGTACATCCAGTCCAAGTAAGTACATCCAGTACAAATAACTACATTGAGTCCAATTAAGTACATCCAGTCCAAGTAAGTACATCCAGTCCACGTAAGTACATCCGGTCCAATTAAGTACGTCCAGTACAAGTAAGTACATCCAGTACAAGTAAGTACATCCAGTACAATTAAGTACGTCCAGTCCAAGTAAGTACATCCAGTCCACGTAAGTATACCCAGTACAAGTAAGTACATCCAGTACAAGTAAGTACATCCAGTACAAGTAAATACATCCAGTCCAAGTAAGTACATCCAGTCCAAGTAAGTACATCCAGTCCACGTAAGTACATCCAGTCCAAGTAAGTACATCCAGTACAAATAACTACATTGAGTCCAATTAAGTACATCCAGTCCAAGTAAGTACATCCAGTCCACGTAAGTACATCCGGTCCAATTAAGTACGTCCAGTACAAGTAAGTACATCCAGTACAAGTAAGTACATCCAGTACAATTAAGTACGTCCAGTCCAATTTATTCCAACAATTTGGATGGAAACAATCAAGTTCTGCAGGCCTGCTTTGCTACAGCTGGGATATTGTGTGACTCCATGTTGTCCTGTTGCAGCAAGTACGTGGCCCTGGTGTGCAGCTTCCTGCTGGGACTCGGGGACAGCAGCTTCAACACACAGGTGGGGGGACATCATCAGTGACAGAACACACAACACATGCTCGTTATTAACATCGTTGTCCTCAAACATCCTTTAGTTTACAAGTCTGTATCCATCTGCCCGAGGCAAGGGAGTTAACTGACTATAGAAGTCCAGTTTCCAGCCTTGCCGAACTAGGCTGGAATTCCGTAGTTACATTTTGGCTGGACTGATGAGTCTATACATAGTCCAATCAATATCTTGTAAAGAACAAGACATCCGGTTCATAAACAACATGGATTTCAACGTGCAGATTTCTGTCGACTGCAGTATTTGCAAAGCTTGTGTACCGTCAACTGTGTGTCGAGAGATTTTTCCAAATCTTTTCATGTTTTTTATCAAGGTGCTCAAGTGATTTGATGCACTTTGCTAGGTAAGACCCGTTTTATTACAATAGAGATCTTGACTTTTGATCAGATCGTCTTGACTGGGCGCCACCACTTTGATTGAAGCAAATGATAGGTGGAATCTGATTGGTCAATAGGAAGGACATAGACGGGACATTACATGTAATTGCCACCGGTGGCACTACGATAGAGCCACAAAATTCCAGTCTTGTTTGGCAAGGGTGGAAACTGGACTTTTATATTCAGGTAACACCCTTGCCTCAGGAAGATGATCTGTATAATTCCAATCATTTTAATACATAGCTCCACATATAATGTGTCATCCCTGAAGAGCTTCCAGGTGAAAATAGTCCCCAATATCTCAACATTGTTGTATGACCTGATTGAAGAGGATTGGCGGGTCTGGCTCATTGTCTGGCTGGTTAAGATTACTCACTGGTTGGTTGGCCTTGTCCAGACTCAAATAAGTACAGACTGTCATCATATTGCTAGAGTATTGCTGAATGCTGTGTTAAACAGCATTCACTCACTCATAACATTTTAAACAATTGATTCAAATCCAGTGGGAATAAAAAGGAACATGTAAGTCCAAGAAATGAGGGTTACTTACCTCCCTTAGATCTCATTTATCATTTGTTAAAACCCCTTCAGAACAAACAGTGTTATACATATGTAGGGAATGTGATTTGTTGTTTTTGTTTTGATGTCTTTATAATTGAATCAGAAGTACATAGACCAGGTATTCAGAGTAATTATGGATTCTCGGATGAAATCATTGAGTGGTCAGACATGTGAGTTAGGGTAAAGAGGAGTGATTCTGTTGTGATTCTGTTGTGATTCTGTTGTGATTCTGTTCTAAGCTGTACTCCGTGCTGGGCTTCATGTTTCCAGAAGACAGTGCTCCAGCCTTTGCCCTCTTCAAGTTTGTTCAAGTAAGTACATGTACTGTTTCCCTGAAGTAAAGATATATGTTCACTCAGAAAATACATGTACTGTTTCCCTGTACACACATATACATAAAGCCACAGCGCTGGTGTTGCTGTGAACTAGGGCATGTTGAGAGAAGCGGCATTATGGTAATTTTTACAATGGTGACAAAATCTTTGTTGAAGGATCTGAGGTGACGGTTTTATAAAAAGAATGGTATTGGTACAATAAGTAATATGACATGACACATGTGATACTTTTTTTATTCAATGAAAAAGTTGAAAATGTTCCAGAAAACAGTGTGTACAGCTTTACATGGTGGTTGGTACAGTAATTTGTACCATCTTGTTTTGTGATAGAAAAGACAATATTTTCATATTCAGATATGAATTGAACATATTTTCATGTTGTAGCACCTTCAGTTGCATGCTTGTTTCATTTTTGGTTTTATTTCTATCTGATAATGAATATTAGTTCATTTAAGATATAAAACTAGGGTTTTAGTTGAGAGTCACATAAACTTCTTTTATTGAATTTACAAACTGAACTACTTCCCAGAAGTAAAGCTACATGTTCACTCAGAAAATACATGTACTGCTTCCCTGAAGTAAAGCTATAAGTTCACTCAGAAAATACATGTACTGTTTCCCTGAAGTAAAGCTACATGTTTACTCAGAAAATACATGTACTGCTTCCCTGAAGTAAAGCTATATGTTTACTCAGAAAATACATGTACTGTTTCCCTGAAGTAAAGCTACATGTTTACTCAGAAAAGACATGTACTGCTTCCCTGAAGTAAAGCTATATGTTTACTCAGAAAATACATATACTGTTTCCCTGAAGTAAAGCTACATGTTTACTCAGAAAATACATGTACTGCTTCCCTGAAGTACATATATATACATATGTCCACTAAGTAAGAACATATACTGTTTCCCTGAAGTAAAGCTATATGTTCACTCACAAAGTACATGTACTATTTCCCTGAAGTAACAATAAATTAAAAGTTAGTAATAAGGAAGATTGTCCTGTTTAGGAACAAATTTTGGTGTTGGTGATAGAATATGTTGTGGATATTTATTGGTGTTTTTCATCTTTAAACAGGATCAGTGATTGATAATCATAACTAAAGGGTTGTGTTCCATTCAGTCCATAGCTGCAGCAGCTGCGTTTGCGTACAGCATCTTCCTGAGCCTGCAGTGGACGTTGCTGATCCTGGTGATCACTGGCACCATCGGCCAATACTGCTTCAATGTCATCGAGTGGAGCAGCTCACGCTCATTCAATGATGGATACGTGTCTATAGACTGATCAGTGGTGAGAGAGGACATTGAATCATCTCCATACAATTACCGTATTCAGCGTAATAAGTACCCTGCTCTAATAAGCGCCCATGGCGATATTTGCTAATATATTGGCTAGTGAACAATCCCAATTAGCACCCCTTCCGATTGATCAATGTACACAAGACTTATTTGTTCGTGTATAATACGCACTCGTGTGTTATATGCACCCTTATTTGTGGGCAGTTAAATTCTGGAAAATATATCTGTTGTGTATGATACACACATACTTTACTTTTGTATCATTTCAGGCTGTCAGCATAAACTATGAAATTTACAATCGCTCAAAATTCTCACCAAAATTATATTCCAATAAGAGCCCCCTATTTCTAATTTTGAGCGTGCCCTGGGCACTTATTACATAGAATAAGGTAGTTGCAATACAGCTATCTTATCTTCCATGCATAGATACAAAAGTATATGTTACTTAGTTTTAGGACCTGTATTGAGCTGTAACCAGTAATTTTCAGTGTACCGCAGCATTGTTAGTTAACTTCAGTGATGTTGCAGAAGCAATCTGCTTGAGACATGAGGCTGTGTATGCAATGGCAAGGCTCAGTGGCCAGTCCAGACATTACTTATCTGCAGTATGGTGGCAGCAGGTGGCAGTCTTCCTAGCAATGAATAGTCAGTGGAAGTTGTCATCCTCCTGCATCCTACAGATAATGATGTGTTTGTATCTACACTATGATAGTGTATCTTGACCTGACTACCATCATACACACTGGGATTTTGTGCATCATCCCAGCTCAAGCTGAACTATGTTATGCTGCTGATGTATATGACTCTATATTATCTAAGTATCGTAATCTCGTAATCCACCCACCCTGTACTGTTTGCTTATGCAAATCTAAGCACAATATTTCATCGTTTGATCCAATACAGGACTCATTGCAGTATGTCACGGCTACTCGTCAGTATACATGTTGATATGATAGTTTTGAAGTGGAATTACAACAACCTCCATTCGAAATTAACCCATTTGTTTGGACGATGAACCTTAACCCAACTTAGGTCGTTATCCAAAACAGGAAGTGATGTAAGCCACACAATCCACATGTATCATTCCACAAAATAGTGATACCATGATAATATAGAGTTGCCTGCCCTTGAGTCGCTCATGACACATTCTTTGGTTACCGAACCCATCATTAACATCAATCAATTTTAATTGATTTGTCATAAAACTTGGACAAAGAACAAGAAACATTTGGCGTGTGACATATTTAATAGGTTAGAAGTGTGTGTCATTGGGATCCATTTTAAATAAACTACTGCGATAATATAGCGTACCATGCGAAATGAGATTTTATAGATGTAAGTTAGATGTTGCATTTGTGGTTAAAGTGGTCAGATATGATTATGATAAAAATGATGCCTTGTTACCTCTGCCCTCATTAGATCCTATGTAAATATCAGTTTGAGACAACCCGGTTTCCATTTCTGCAAATGAATTTGACTTTGTGTGTTTTACTCAGATCCTTGTGAGTGTGAAGACAAAAGAGGGAGCATCCATTCCTTGTCGATTTGCCAGCAGCATTCAGTGATCCTTACAAGGCTACCACCATCGTGGGACAGTGGGCTTCCAGCTTTGTGTCGGTGTACAGGCTCGGTCATGTGTTGTATAGCTTCAGCCACAGCGCTGGTGTTGCTGTGAGCTAGGGCATGTTGAGAGAAGCAGCACTGTGGTAATTCTTCAATGGTGACACAATCTTTGTTGAAGGATCTGAGGTGACAGTTTTATAGAAAGAATGGTATTGGTACAAAAAGAAATATGACATGACACATATGATACTTTTTAATTCAATGCAAAAGTGGAAAATGTTCCAGAAAACAGTGTGTACAGCTTTACATTGTTGGTTGGTACAGTAATTTGTACCATCTTGTTTTGTGATAGAAAAGACGATATTTTCATATTCAGATATGAATTGAACATATTTTCATGTTGTAGCACATTCAGTTGCATGCTTTGTTTCATTTTTGGTTTTATATCTACCTGAACATGAATATCAGTTCATGTAAGATATAAAACTATGGTTTTAGTTAGAGTCACATAAACTACTTTCATTGTATTTACAAACTGACCATACCACAGTTGGGTTTTCTTCATCTTGCCATGACAATCTCTTTGTTGGAATTCATATTGCATTGTTATCACAGCTTGATAGGGGAAACATAGCACCATCTCTTGAATATGGGATATGCATGGAATCAAATGAGAAATATTGTTATTAATTCATGTTTATTATTTCTCAGTAGAACAGAATAACACGTTGTATCCCCTACCCAAATATTGATATCGAGTGTCCATACTTAACTTCACAGTTCCCTGTTGTTTCACAATGTATTTTGTGCATCAAACATTTCAAAGATAATTATATACTTAGAAGAGTGATTTGGAGTCATCTACCTCAGTGTGTGGAGCAACTGGTTTCCAATTTCTACTGCAATAGGTTGCTGTGGAATCATACAGACAATGATTGATTTGGACATATTTTATTGCGAAAAGCCAAATGGATAAAGCACAGGTGACACACTTGTGAGGCCTTGTCCTGATGGAGATAATGGAGAGGGTGACTTATAACTGAAGCTGTTCACAGTTTAATCTCTTGATAAATGTTGCATGAAGAAATATTACACAAAGCATTTACTAATTCTATAAATATGACTAAATCCAAATTTAGCACAAATTTGAAAATGCTTTTTGTTGATTTTATCACATGGCATAACAATATGAGTGCAAGTTATCACACGAAACACGAGAGGGGGACTTTCTGACTCGTTGTCCTCAGGATAACTGGCAACATTTTACTTGTTTTTGGATATCAGGTACAACGTAATGAATTGTTAAAAAAGTGCAAATCTTGTTCACAAAGTTGAATAATTTTCTTACGGAATGTTTGAATTTGATAGTATATTTCCATGTTTCCTATAATTTTTGCTGTGTAAAGATATTCAGGAAAAGCCTACAAGCTACAATGACTTGGAGATTATCTGAGACGAGTAAATCACTTTTGTTAGGACCAAGCCGTGGCAAGGCACTTCCAACATTAATTCATAAGGGACAGATCTTGCATAATTCTGAGTTGCACATAGGTTATTTATATTACCAATGGTCTATTCTTCTGAGTAAATGTAGGAAAATGTTGATTTCCTAATCTCAAGTGGAAACATCAGCTGAGATAATCTGTTGTTGGAACGGCGTCACATAAAACTGCCTGTGTCGCAAATATAGGATGCCGTCATCTCCCAATATTTGTGACAAGGCAATATTGGTATTGTCCTTTCAAGTTGGAAACATATCTGCAAATACTCATTCTAATCATTTTGATATTACATAACACTATGTGTAATTATACTCTGATGTGGTGTAACAGGGTCAGATTGTGACCTTAACCTTGGAACTTGCTTGGGGAGATGCTTGTGGTTGCACTGCTATTGTTATTTTGAGTTTTCCCATCAGGTCATTATCAGTTGCAAAATATGTTTTTTTGTCATATATCACATTTAAGTGATAGGTTACAAGGAAAAAAGTATTATGAAATTTTGATAATTTCAATAATCTTACATCAAAATGTCACAAGCATTGCGATGAGCTTGTCCTTCATGACACAACGTCATGTCCTTGCGAGCAACAACCAGATTTTGGTGATGAAGATAGTATGAAGATAGAAGTGTGTATGATCCTCACTTGGTTTTAAACAATGGCAAAGAGGTGTGCATCAGTACCTCTGGTTGTTACGTTTCCATTCCATATGGAATCTGAATAATTCTGAGTCTTAAGCCATTCTCAACATGTTTGGGAAGTAAACGGATCTGTCAGTGAGGACACCAGTTTTTAAGTTAAGATTTTAGTCAAGAAATCATTGTCATGCCTCCCATCATATATTGTTAGCTTTTTAGTGGCTTGCTTTTATGTGTTTTTTTATCATTTTGAGTTTTCATTACTTGTGATCTATCATGTTTTGTTTTAATAATTGTATTCATGATCCATGTATTAGTAACAATGTATGTCATTTGTCTTGTTTTGCATCATATTAAGCTTTGCCTGTCTCACCTGTGATGGACCCATGAAGATCCGGGTTAGAATAGGTCTTCAGAAACCCATGCTTGTTTTAAGAGGCGACGATCGGGATTCGGTGGTCAGACTCACTGACTTGGTTGATGCATGTCATGGTATCCCAATTGCGTGGATCGATGCTAATGATATCAATCACTCGATTGTCTGTGGTCCAGACTACCATCATGTAGCTGGAATATTGCTGAGTGCAGCATTAAACAACAAATAAAACAACAAAATAAGGCACAGGATGATGGTGAACTAGGTTTGTTGAACATGTTCAACTGTGTCGTCATGTTCCACTGACATGGGCCTTTGCTCATTACATCAACCACTGGTTTGTCTGGCCAAGACACAATTATTTACAGGTTGCTGTGTATATTGCAGACTGCAACAATAAACAACAGACAAACAAAAGTTGAGATGCCTCTTTGCTGTCATAATGTGGCTATAATATTGGTGCCAAGTTTCTCACGAACTTTACAAGGCCAGTGGTGAGTGTGTTGTGTAGGCCAGGAATCCAAACAAGGCTGAAATTTGTGAAGCCCTTTCTTCATCAGCCATGTTGTATGGGGATGGAAGTACAGATTCTGTAAACACTGTTATTGTAAACACTGTTATTGTTAATAAAAGAGCATCAATATATTTGTGCGACATTTGTGGTACTGTTGACCAGATATTGTCTCAACATCTCTCTGGCAACACAACAAACGGTCTGCAGTTCATATTTGAGGATATTCATAATCAAATGATTATCTCTCATTAGACAAAAGTCTTTAGATGTATTTTGATCCAGATTGTAGTGCAGTATGAATGCAACCAGTGTTTAAATTCCATATGTATGTATAGATATGACACTTAACTGAGGCTTGCATACCGTTCAGAGACTCAGCATGATTTTGTATGTACTCTTGCTGACATCCTTGCAGTAAGTGTCAGTCCTGGAGTCCATTTTATATATTGTACAATATTTATTCCATTTGGTTGCTTAAATAATTGGAATTATTGTAAATCTAGATAAGAATCGCGTCATTGAATGACTTAGTTGTCCGCTGTCAAACAGCCAGAAGGATAGTAGCACTCAACAGTGAGGACCTTGTTGACTGTAAATCATGCATGCTCATTTCACAGTTTAGCTTTTTTGCCTTACATGAATATGCTTTAAAATATTTTAAGTCTCTGTTGACAAACTGTATTGGAAGAAGTCACTGCACTTCTCAATCCCTGTAAACCTGCATCTACATTTGTCATGTATCTGTGTCCTCTGCCACCACAGGCATCAGACTGTGATAATAGTCCCCAAAGTCGTATATAGGCAAACAGGAATATTTTTTTAAAAGAGTTTTGATATGTTATTTTAGTATTATTAAATGATTTAAATATGGAACTTTATTGTGGAGTCTGAATCCTGTGGCTGTATCATTAACAACTGTGATAACTCTGCTACAGGAACTATTGTTATATCTGTACTTTTCACTTGTGCCAATAAACAAACTTGTCTTGCAACAGAATTTGTCCTAGAATGGGTACTGGCAGCGGAGGATGTGACACGGCTTACATGATGAAGGCCCACACGAACAGAGGTATGGTGTTCACAAAACCTACTGTGTTTCACCGACACCACCTCAAACATTTCAGCTTTGTGATGGTGGCCTGTGAATACTAAAGTCTGGAACTGAGAAACCAGTCACACCTCGCTATGGTATGCTGACTGAGTCTGACCATCCTATCTCCATTTTCTCATTAAAACCAGATCTGTTACTCCGATACAATACTTCTCTGCGTCAAGACGCCTCCATGGAGTGTTGTGTCAGATGAACCCAAACTTTGCTCTCTTACCTTGATTTGGAAATGTCTATTTGTACAAATGAAAACCCACTCAGGACTAAACTATCCCTTCGATCATACCCCAATTGGATGTAGGTGTTGACATGTTGCTCTGATATGACAGGGCCTATAACATATCCACAACAATATATTGGCACAACTTTCCATTTTGGGCAGTCGGAAGTTATATACAGAAGTCAGATAACTGTGTCTGAATGCTTCGCTCATACGTGCAGAGAGATTAGAAGCCTGATTGACTGTTTAGATCTTCCGGCAGAAAGGTATCGTCTCGGAGAAAATGATCTGATTTTAAGAGATTGATCCTATCCATTTAATTACCTGATACATCTAGCATAGGTTGCTAGGACACATTCTAACGTCAAGTCCCTTGTGGACAAAGGCTACCCTGGAAATAATCTTGGTTATTACCCATAGGATTAGAAATAACCTGGTTAAAATGTTTTTATTTGCACTAGTGCAAATATCACTTCTTGCACACCAGTGCACTGTTGACGTCATTCAAATCTTAAAGTAACGTAAGGTTAGAATTTTGACGTTCCTGTGGAAGAATGTTGACGTCGTTCGTTGTGGTTTTCTTGGACAGCAGTGGTGATCACTGCATTTTTCTAAAGGGGAGCTCAAAAGGATTAAGAAAGAATAGGTAATAAAGAAATTATTATGCTGACATTTTATGAAACATCGGGAAATACAAGAATTCTGACACTCATTTTATAAAATCAGTATGATAAACATGATCATATAATAATCAATGCATCACCTTCTGACACTCAGAAAGAACACGCTAATAAGACAAGATCAACAATTTTATTTTCATATATATATTTGTATATATATATATATATATATATATATCACACTTTACAACTCGGACGTGACAGAACACCCACCAGCAATGTACACAGCTAAAAACCAATGAACAATTTGTATTAACAGCTTAACAACTAAGCAACATTCTACAGATATTACAGCAAATATCCTGAACTGAAAATAATTCAAAGTTCATTCAACCTTCAAACCATGAAAAAAAATAAAATTTTGTGACAAACATCATCGGAAAATGCTTTCACAACTGCATATATGATGAGATAATTTGCTACTTAAAAAATAAATCACATATTGATGGCGGGACTTGAATGACAATACCTGCACAGAAGGGTGTTGTAATACACTGGTCCCTAGCACAACATTACTCTTGTTGACATGGTCACTGAAGTACGCAACAAAACACCAATAAAATGTTGATCTATCATTATCACAATAGCAAACATAAAACAAGTTTTACGTAGAATATAATGTGAAAATAGAAATGTCTGCCACTGACGCATCATAAAAGTGAGTGAGATTCTAATGGCAAGTATTTGATTCAGGGGCTATATGAAAAAAATTAAAGAAAAATATACAAGGGTGATCACTATTATCAGTGTAATAATTTTAAATCTTTGGTATTGGTAACCTTTTCTTTCAAAATTCCTCATGAAGTGCAAACAGTGAGAATTTTATGTAATAATTCATTCCAAACATTGATATTAATTATTTTGGGGGATTTGTCTTAACTTTCAATATAGGTTTCCTGAAACAAATATTTCCGTAACAAAATGGCATTTAGATAATTTCTTCTAAAATATATTCAGAATGATGGTCATCAGTATAGAATATGACAGAAAATTCCCCTTCTCCTTCATTTGAGAATTCTTTTCGATAGCAACCTTGAAGTTTTCTGACATAATCCCCATGACATAAGAATCACAAAAAGTGGAATTAATTGAATATGTATCTGGGAATACCATCAGTGTCATTGATTATGATAAGTGCTGGAATTGAAGGTGGAACAGGTGCCATAAACTGACTGCAATTACATGAGAGCTTATTTTTCAGTTAGGTTTGTATTAGGATGTTTGTGACCTTACATTGAAAGATAATGATGAAATAATACAGCAATAAAACTATCTTTCACAGCCACTTCAATTTCTGATATGCATTTGGGTGATCAGCAGCTAGTAGCAGCACATAATATTGAAATGTAATGTCATCAAAATTATACTTTGTGGGATTAACCATGACATTTATGAAAAGATGGAACTGTTTTGGGGATGATCAGATGAAATGTCAGAATTATAGCATTCTGTGAATTGGATGTTGGAATTGGAAGGTATCACTGCCAAAGAAAAGTTTATGTTTCAGTGAAAGAAATTTCTAAACAATGATGCATGTTGGTTTTCACTTGGGTAATTGTTAGTGTTTCCAACTTTAACGAAATGAAACATCTAGCAAAGCACTGGCAGACCCACAGGGGCCGCAGGGATGTGCATTGTTGTTATTTTGTTCCATGACATCGCATATTTTTGTTGCTTGTGTGCACATCCTTTTTCCAAAATTCTGGATTCATCTCTACAAAATCCTTATTTCCTCTTCAGACTTAAAGAAAGATATGTGGTTGAAAGTGTTCCACCTGTCACTATTCCAGGTGATAAAGTTGCTAACATCATACATCTGTCATCTTGTGCCATTAACTAAAGCCTGTGTTCAAGTGTAAAATCATCTAGAAAACAAGTAACATGACACATTTACAATACTATTTACACATGAAACATAAAACTGAGAATGTTAAATACACATTCATTTGTATAATACATATACCACTTTCTGCTGATATGAATTGGAAATGATATGGTAGCTCAGCTAAAAACTAAGGCTGACTTTATAGCAATATACTGTGAAGATAATCCTGTAAAATTGAAAACAAGAAACATGAATTACCTTGAAAGAATTGTCTTCAAATATCTTGAAGCCACTGACAGAGCAGTGGTTATTTGCATGATAAATAACAGTGTCAAGCTGTTTAGTGAGACAACTTGCACTCATATTGTTATGCTGTGTGATAAAATCAACAAAAAACATTTTCAAATTTGTGCTAAATTTGGATTTAGTCTTATTTATAGAATTAGTAAATATTTTGTGTAATATTTCTTTATGCAACATTTATCAAGAGATTAAACTGTGAACAGCTTCAATTACAAGTATAGTTATCTTAAAATCAGGTCAATGTAATGAATCAACTCCTGCCTCTCTATTAATTATATGCTCATGTAGGACCTGCACAGGCACACATCTAATGCTGGGACATTGTGTCCCACAGTACAGTCACAGCTATGGGACAATATCACACGACTAATGATATCGATGCAGCGATAGAAGCTGACATGTTTAGTCCAATAGTCTTAAAAGGATAACAGAAAACAAACTCCTTAAAAATGACAAATTCCTACTGTAGTCGCGCCACTTGAAATACATGTAAAATCATGAAATATCTCAATGATTAATTAATGAAGACAGCTGGGTGTCTGCTACTAATGACGAAATGAAAACAAGCCATTCTGCTGATATGGAATATTAGTTACAGTAATCACAAAAATTGGAAAGAGTGCTTTTCAAGAAATATCTATTTTGCTAACGATAAATATCATCACTAAGTTTTGATCATGTGATTACAATCCGGGTAAGAATCAGGTCAGGTGACCACTAGTGGTTATACTTCGCAGTGAACTTGGTCAATAGTGTTTTAAATACTACATCTGCACGTCATGTTCTTTCAGTTAATGCTGGTAATGAACGTACACTGCATGCTCTCCTAAATATACCCTAAATACTGTCTCCTGACTGCCTAAGCTTACCAGGATGGTAATCAAAAGTCAATGATGATGTTTATTGCCAGCAAAATGGATACTTCTTGAAAAGCTCACTCTGCAATGTTTGTCATTTCTGTAAGTAATATTTCTTATCAGTGGAATGGCTTGTTTTCACTCAATGAGTATTAGCACACATGTAGCTATCTTCGTTAATTAATCATTTCGATTTTTCGTGATTCTATTTCAAGTTGCGAGGACTATAATCCTTGTGATACCTTAACTATTGGGCAGTTTGGCAAGGACAATAGGACAAGTGCCAATTTCTAACGCTGTCAATGTTACACATGGTTAATATCAACATAACAAACAACAGGTGTAAATGAAACAAATATAATGACAGGCAGGAATTCCAACAGTATTTCAAATGGGGACTATCACACACCTTCAGTGATGCTTAAGTAGTAGATAGGTGTCACAGAGTCCTCTGAAGAGATTACATAGTATTTCAACTCTTATCGCCATCAGTTTCAAGTGAATTCAAGGCTGTGATCAGTATTTCTTCACATTATTAGACTTCACTGCATCACATCCATTTTGAGGCCATCTATAGACATTTTACACAATTGTTAAACCATTGAGTACTGCATCATTGTTGCTGACAGAGAAGGATAACTTTGACCAATGTGGGAATTAAACCGATGTCAAGCAGCCTGGTAGGTAAGGGAGATAACTGCAGCACATGGAACCACCTGTGTCCATTCGTAAGTCTTTTTGAACTTGTAAGATGTTACAGTCTGTGTATTAAACCTTTAAGTCAGCTGGCCTGAACTTGGTTCTCAGGATCATTGTTGGTATATTTTAACATCATCATCATGGACTTTTGTTAGCTGGGCTTACTAGACCAAAATGAATTTTACTACACAAGGCCAAAATAATATATTCTTGCACTACTCAATGACATCCAGTGTAACACAATGTCATTACAACCTTGTGGGGACAATATTCCAGTGTCAACAGCCTTGTATGGTAGCAGGCATACTATTGATTTTTACTGACTAATTTTGATTGACAACAACTAATAAAAGCGTTCTGAATCAATTATAAAACTATTTGGCAAGCTTACATTGGTTGTGATGACCTTCATCTGACAAGGAACAACACTGGCACAGATACACATCAGTTCTCCTGTTACCCTGGCATGTGAGGGGCAAGTAACTCACAAAGGTGTTCACAGTTGGATGTGATTTGATGTCCATTAACATGGTCTTTTGCTGAATGTTAAGAAACAGGATGAATGATAGACTTTCAGGAATCTAACTGAATGAAATACAGGCATTTACCATTGAGAACTTGACCATCAAAACTGCATCCTAATCTACAACATCACAAATCTATAGCTTTTTCTAAATGTGCAAGTAAACATTGATAACACCAGCCTTGTCTACAGGAGAGAAACACTGTCAACTGCGCACATACCAGGAAGCATATATACTCAAGGAATTGTCTCAAAAGATTATTTTCGTTCCATGTGCATGGCAACTAGTTGTCCCATGTATATCATTTATTTCAACCCACATTCAGCTGCCTAATTCTCTACAAATGATATTCAATCTTTCGAGACAGACCCTTCATCAGCAATTAAATACAAATGTTGAAAAAGTCATAACACAAATATTGTATCCTGAGTTGGTGATTCGTCCTGCCTTGACTGCAAAGAAACAATGGTTGCTATGGACACACATAAACAGCATCAACAGAGGACCCACCACGTAACAAGGATGCCTTGGATCTGTCACTAATTCACAAAGCAGAAAAAACATCTCGTATTTCTCACCACCCAAACAAAGATAACACAGGAGCACACTTTGGAAAACAAAACAGTTCTACCTGCCCTAAGGATACTTCTACACTGGGCAAACTGACACAGCGGAGTATGTGACAGCCTGCTACACTGGGCAAACTGACACAGCGGAGTATGTGACAGCCTGCTACACTGGGCAAACTGACACAGCGGAGTATGTGACAGCCTGCTACACTGGGCAAACTGACACAGCGGAGTATGTGACAGCCTGCTACACTGGGCAAACTGACACAGCGGAGTATGTGACAGCCTGCTACACTGGGCAAACTGACACATCTGAGTATGTGACAGCCTGCTACACTGGGCAAACTGACACAGCGGAGTATGTGACAGCCTGCTACACTGGGCAAACTGACACAGCGGAGTATGTGACAGCCTGCTACACTGGGCAAACTGACACAGCGGAGTATGTGACAGCCTGCTACACTGGGCAAACTGACACAGCGGAGTATGTGACAGCCTGCTACACTGGGCAAACTGACACATCTGAGTATGTGACAGCCTGCTACACTGGGCAAACTGACACAGCGGAGTATGTGACAGCCTGCTACACTGGGCAAACTGACACATCTGAGTATGTGACAGCCTGCTACACTGGGCAAACTGACACATCTGAGTATGTGACAGCCTGAACTTATCAAAGCTGCAACCCATGGATATAACATTTACATCAAGCTGGTAATTGACAGAATCTTGCTGTAAGGGTCATGGTGATATAAAGCTAGAGATATACAATTTAAGGACATAAATTCATCATTGATGCCAATGGTTATGACATGCTCATTAAAGAAGTGTTCAGGTTAATGACATACTGTCGTCAATTAATCAATGGCACAGGTTTGCCATCGTTAGTTGGCAAAACAACAAATACAGCAAAATTGACTGAAAAAAACCAAATGACCTCTAACTATAATATGTGCATGCTAGACTGTCACTGATTCTAACATGACAGTACAAGTTTTGCCCCACACAGATTACATCTTGTATTAAATCTACAATAAATTGTTGTCAATGAAACTGCCATATTTTCATAGAGGTTCTAATTTACAACCTTAAAACACATGCTAAATGAAAATATAACATTCCAATTTAAGAAAATAGCATTTGTATGTACAACTCTGCCTCCAGTAACACAACTATACTATTAAAGTCCAGTAAAATAACAGGCACAACATAACACAAGAGTCCAATCTAACATGGAAATAATCATGGCCAACTCTACAGGCTATTCATCCGAGTCGGATGACAACTAACATATCCATAGAATTCATGCATGACAAGAGCCTAGAGCCTAGATAACAGACATCCTAGAAACACGCTGGCATCTAGAGGACGAGCAGCATTGTAACTCAGCATTAATACCTCTAACTGTGACAGCACATGTAGACAGTAAAGGCTGAGACAATTCACCAATACACTGCCGTGTCAAACTTAATGATATGATTCATTCTCCACATCATATGGTCTACCAACTGACACTGTTCTACATTGGCATTTTCACCGTAGCATTTTGCCTTCTTTCAGTGTCATCATGTATTGGTGTTGTCCTAAAGTCACATGGTTATTAGACATGAAAGCATGATATTGGAAAAAAAGAAGCTTCTTTTCTTTGTTAATTCAAAATAATTCTTTGTTAAATCAAGACAAGTCTTTGTTAAATCAAGATAACATTTGTTAAATCAAGATAACAATAATACTGTTACATGAAACAGAGAAGCTATGTATCATGTGATATTTTATTGTATCGCGAAACATGTGGCGTATTGTTTCAGCCTAAGAAGTATACAGCCGACAACACAGAGGTGATAAAATAGTATTTGTTTGGAATCATTACAAGAGAGACCTGTACACAAACACCAAGTAAACGGTAATAAATAACACATACGGATGTCATTTCCATGACAGAGGCTTAGGCAGCTGGATTCCAAGTCCAGCTTATGAAGCTTATAGGGTGAGATATTAAAGATAATTAATTCATATATGCACGTGAATGTTCAATATATCCAATGAACTTAGATTTCTAGTCCCATCAAAATGTTGATCTTTATACTGACATGTTGGCTAAAATTTCTTTGAAAGAGAAAATCGTATTCACCACTTATACTTGTTTCGACATGGATACTGCATATGTGGTCACAACATCTGTAGCTACTATACAGTTCACTTTCTAGATTGGATAAATTCACTTCCAATTTCTTTGCAAAAATAATTTGGGGCTACTGATAGCTCTGATAAGCTCTGTGGCTGGTTAAGCAAGTACATGTTCCGTTTAGTTTGCTCAGCTGTCATGATGTACACTTATGAGACATACACACATATATGGTGTATTAGGATGTCCAACAGAGCATGCTTGGTATAGACATTGTTTAGTCACATGTAAATTGTGGGAGAGTTTCACATAACAACCAAGTATATCCTAACTGACAGACACAGCCAGCCCACAATGGTCCATTATCAGTCAGCTGCCATTGAGACGATCAATCCTTCACTGGAACTCGTCGTCAGAACTCAGAAGGGTTGTCTTTTCATTAAATCGGTTCTTGTTGGGAGTGGCTGTGGTCTGCTGCCCAGGTTGTGGAGGGGCAGCATTTCCGTTCTGTTGAGGTCGTCCACGCTGGTAAGGGTCATGTGGCCAGGCGCCGGACTCGTTGAACTCATCCTCCTTGGGCGGCTTCATGCCGTGCTGGGTGTACTGCTGGTACTGGGGGTGGAAGTTGTGGATGGCGTCCTGCATGATGTCGCGGGGGTTCATGGTCTCCTTCAGGCTGGAGGAGATGCTCTGGAGGGACACGGTGCGGCCGTGGGTGGCTGCCGGTGCAGAGCTGTAGATGCTGTGTGGGAAGGCGAAGCGCAGGGCGATGGCGGCCATGAACATCTCCGCACAGATGAGGAAGTTTTGCCAGCCTGCAGATACCGTACCCACTCCCACCTTCAGCTGGTTGCCTTCAGCAAAGATTGGACTGATCACTTCTGTCTTCTCAAGGATAGCAAGGACAACACCTGCAGGAAATTGAACTGCAGTGTGAGGATAGATGGAATTGAATTGAGTGAGTCACTGACTGATGGTGATGTTATGCAGCTGTCAACAATAATCTAGCAGCGACATTGGTCTGTGAACAATACCATGCTGGTCAGGCAAGCGAGTGTTACTAGTGAGTACAGTTAGTGCAGTTAATATGGTTTGATATGCTGTATTGTGTGCCAGCCTGTACATCATAAAGTCTGGGATAGGCAGACCAGTGGCTGGTTGCCAGGCAAACAAGTGGCTGATTGCATTATTACACATGTTTACATGAGAACTTAGGAATGGTTATTGGATTGTGTGCCAGTAGATGGGAAACTACAAACAAGGACCGAAACAGCTCACAGAATTCAAATCAGCTACATCAACGTAAGAAGGTGTTTGCGTTGTCTTACCCTGCCAGAAGGACAAGAAGATGACGGACTTGATGATGCAGAACTTGAGGATTGGCTCGTATGGGCTGAGGAGCTCCTTGGTTGCGTTGTAGAACAGGATCAGGCCGTACAGCGCCAGGGACACCGAGATGTTGTAGATGATGGTGATGTACAGGTAGCCACCACCATGTCTGACATCAAACATCACATCTTAGGATGTTGTACAATTGCCCAATAAATATGCACTTTTAACATGCCACCAAATAAAGAGGATCTTGACATTCAGTTCGAGGGTGACCCATGGTCAATGACCTAAACACTCCATGAAGTAGTCAGAATGTTATCACTATTTCCAGTCAGTTCTAACTAACTGTGAATAATGTCTCCATTAAGCTTATCCTATGTTCTATCTTACATGAATGGACAGAGAGCTAATGACCAATTCTCTAAACCCAGATCCATCTGTTAAGAACATCTTGAGAAATCCGATGCATATAGATATCCTGGAACCAAATTTCACTGATAATTTACAACTCGTAATCTGTAAATATCGGAACCAAATCTTACAAAAGTATGGAAAACCAACTCACGAGAAGTTTCCGTCCTTGTACAGACTGAAGGCCTGCAGGATAAGAGTCAGGACGGCCATCACTGGTTTGATGATGCAGAACTGAAGCGTGGCCTGGCAATACAAGACATTGTAACCCATTTATAGATGTGCTGGCAACGAAAATACCCTCACGGTCAAACATAGCAAACCCAAATATTCATAAAGTCTTTGCTTAACATGTATACCACATATTCAGAGTTCAAAGTCTATCATGTTCTAGACAAAAATTAGTTTGTGACTTGATTGACTGATTTTACAGTATTTGTTGTTTGTTTGTTTGTCTCTCGTACAAAACAAAAAATAACACGTTATTGATGTTGATTGTTGTTTTATGCCGCACTCAGCAATATTCCAGCTATATGATGGCAATCTGTAAAATAATTGAGTTTGGACCAAACAAGTGATTGATATCATGAGCATCGATTCACGCGATTGGGATACATTGGCATGCATCAACAAAGTCGGCGAACCTGACCACCTGTTCCTGTTAATCGCCTCTTACGACAAGCATAGTCGCATGGGTTACTTAAAAACTGTTCTAGCCCGGGTCTTCATGGGTCGATTAAACAGGGTTATGCCGAACATATCATCAATTTAGTTACAAGATACAGCATATGCTACATGTACACAGCATCAACAAGGTACAAATTCAACACACATGAAAAACAGAGTTATAACAACAAAAATATTTGCATTTCCACTGCCATGTGACAAATTTCCTGCCATGATGTTCCCATGCTTACCTGCTTGCAGAACCTGAGGAAACCAATCGTGTACTGCCTGCCAGCAAGGCAACACGTGCACCACAACCAGCTGGACCTGTGGAGGGGAGGCAACTCTTACAGTAACATCTTTAAACCCTCATTGTAACAATAAAATAACAATCAAAGCTTCTCAAATTCATTTAGTCGGAGTTTTAAATTGATCTATATTTAGATATAAATGGAAAAACACAAAACATGGCAAGCTTACCTGATGGGCTTCCCCCGAATTTCAGACATAATAGCCCCTTCACCTCCCAGGTACTCATAGCACAGACTCAGGAAGCTGTATATCACAAACGCTGCAATATCAGGAAAGAGCTTTTACTCACTGAAACATGCACACTTTCATGAAAATCAATTATTGTACCATGACTTTGGTTGAAAAGAACACACTGTTTGCAAGCTTTCCGTGAGTGAGTGAGTGAGTGGTTTTATGCTGCTTTTAGCAATATCATGGCTGGGGACACCAGAAATGGGTTGCACACATTGTACCCATGTTTGGAATCGAACCCTGGCCTGGACCGTTGCAACAGGTATGACCAAATTACATATTTTGTTTCCAATGAATACTAAATTGTGATGTTATGGCCTGCCAAGTTGGATTCAGTAGTGGACACATTAAACTCCTGACTTGGAGACACAGCATATACATCCACTGTTAAAATCAATTTTGGTTGTGATGTGTCTCATGCAATGATGCTGTGTATACCTCACAGAGGTGAGGTGAAATGGGGTTTAACATCGCGTCCAAGATTATTGCACTTATATAGCGACGTGCATGTACGTGTGTGTGTTTGTGTGGCTGCTTGTACTAGTCTGTACTGATGCCGATTTATAGTCCTAGCTCACTGATATACCATGCCGCAGTTTAACATGAATACCCTACTCAGACACAGTATACTGACTCCGAGCCGACCAGTATTTGTTTTAGCTTTTGGTATGACGCGGTCGGGAATCGAAATCCGGACCTTCCGCTCTCCGGGCGGACGCTCTACCACTAGACAACGGAGGCGTTCGTACCTCACAGAGGTCAACCAGACCAACTGTGAATGAACCTTCTGGGAGCCCTACCACTGCCAGACAGTGAAGCAATGTAGAGCTGATGGCCACAAGATTATGACACATGCTCCCCACCTTTGCATGCAGGAAACATTGCCATTCGCGCCACGTAACCAGGTCCTCAATGGTCAGAGAACTCGCCTGTATCCCTCTTACTAGAAGCAGGGCTTGATTTGTTGGTTAACGATGACAATAACTCGTACATATTGATGGATGGTGGAAGAATGTATTCAAGCCCATGAGTATTGATGATGATTGATACCATACAACACAATAAACACTCTTGCTTTCAAAAGTTACCACATTATTGTTCAAGAGGGCAGACATATACCTTGCAAGTTGTCCAAATTTCATGATTTTTCAAGACATGATAAGATATTTCTCATTAAAATATAAGCAACAGAGCTTCTTTCATTACAAAGTGGTACTTGTTAAGAAATTAACATGGAGATTGGTCTACGTAGGCGAATGGAAAGCCCACAATCATGACCCATACATCTGAGCTATTGGGAATTACAAGTAATCTCTCCCGAGTAAATATCATGACAAGGGAGACAACTTATTTTATCTCTCGGCCATAAAATAACATGTTGTTGATGTTGACGGTTGTTGAACACTGCACTCAGCGTTATTCCAGCTATATGACGGCAGTCTGTAAATAACTGAGTTCGGACCAGACAATCCAGTGATTGACATCATGAGCATCGACCCACACAGTTGGGATATGATAAAATGCATCAACCAAGTCAGTGAGCCTGACCACCCAATCTTGTTAGCCGCCTCTTACGACAAGCATAGTCGCCTTTTACGGCAAGCATGGGTCTACCCCAGATCTTCATGAGTCATAAGATGCGAGAGGAAAAAGGCCTTGTTTTACCTTCATAGCAATCCCGGATACTGTCAAAGTAGACGTAGTAACTGTCATTGTTGAAGAACATGAGACTGAGAAATGAGTCGAAAGAGTAGATGGGCACGATGAACAGCACACGCACGATCCATCGCTGCTCATTGGGGCAAGTGTAGTAGCGGAGATGAAGATAAATCTGGAATTAACAATGAAAATCATAAACAAACTCTCTCACACAAAAAACAAAAACTGGCGAAAATTGTACTGAAAATAAACTACAGTGAAACGTCATTGCATGGAACTCTGGTAAGTCTAAATACTGCATGAAGCAATATAACATATATATATTATACAACTGGCATAATCCTTCTTTGTCATTTGTTTACTCCTTTCAAGGAAAAGCCTCATAACTCAATGTTTCTGATACGTATGTATCAAGTAGAGCTGGGACGATACTCTAACAGTGTGATCTGATACGTATCACGGTACCTTGCTCACGATCCGATTTGTATCACAATACTTGAAAGTGCTCTGTACTACCGTCATGTAGCTGGAATAGTGTGGCGTTAAAGAACAAATAGACAAACATCTTATCTGTGGTGCATAAGCCATTTTTTTCATAGACAGGATGGCCAGATACCTGGCGCACGGACAATTTACAGTGGGCAGTGTCATGTATAGTGCAATGAATGAAAATATTTACGTTTTCACTAGTGACAATTAGTGTTTGGTGTAACATTTATTAAAGAATACATGTAAGGTATCGATATGTTTTACTTAGTGTGTGACCGATACTTGTATCGAGAAGTAAAATATTATATATCCTCTGATGCATTGGTGTATTGTCCTACTCCTAGTATCCATGACATCAAAATGTATAGTGAATTGACCTCACTGAGCCAAGTCACATATAATTCGCTTAAACCGGGAAAAATGTATTGTTTCTGAGTGGCTAACCTATTTATCTTATGCAAAAAAACTAATTATTGACAAAACACAAAGATTGTCACTGTACTGATCATTATCTCTAGATAAGGTTAAACACTTCCTTATTAACACAAGATATCATGCTTGCTCTCATAGCCACACAGATACAACACAAAATCTAATCTCAAATAGAATTATTGATTGTAACACCACTGCTTTTCACCAAGACTGTGTTACTGATTCTTCACACACAAAGAAACATTAATAACCAAGACAGGGATGGATGATATCATATCTACAATTTCACCTCAATAATAATGTTTCATTCAGAAACAGTTTAGATGTGAACACTTGTTTAGGCATTGGGCTGTAAGGCATTGATAGTGTCATTTACGAGTCTTCTCTGTAATTCATACAAAAGCTTCATCAACAGTGCAATCTAATGTGATGGAATCCCAGATTCTGACACTGAAGAGACACTTCTCAATCCAGAGTCATTAAACCTTTTCTCACCAGCCTTTCACAACAGACAATGTTTACGTTTTTACAATCAAAGACTGTTGAGGAATTTCAGATCTTTAATCAATACAGATTAGATGTAGTGTTGGCAGCAGCCTCACAGAACTCTAGCTCCAGGCTGTCAGGCAGCAGGGTGTCAATGTCCACGGCCATTTTGGTAATCCTCAGTCGGAAACCTGACCAAATTCACTGCAATGCTACCTGCAACATGGATCTCTTACCATTGCAACTCTCTTATCTGCTCATGGCTATTTGAGAGCTGAATTTCTACCATAGATTTCTAATCTTTTGTTTGTGCTGTGCTATCATGTATCAGATGCAATAATGACGAATGAACTCAGATCTCGCCTAATGTTCGTATGGCGTTGGGTAGACTTCCAGCACAGATTTTATATCCCACATGGAACACTAATAAGAGAATAATAGCCCTGGCAATGCATCCTCAAGTGATCTTTGTGCTACAGCTATCGCAACTACCATTATAAAACACTAATTTACAACAGTTGCAGCGATACAGTTGTCTTGTGGAAGTGGACAAATAAATTTATTGCAATCCTAGGATAGAATGGATCCCTAGAGCCTCATGCTGAATATACAGTACCATGCTATTAAAGGGATGTGCCAAAAAACAGAATAGGTCATGGTTACCCTGGCAACAATGGTTTGACTGAGCCACTGATCCAGCCTACTCATGCATCAGCTGGTCCTGTATTCAAGGGACCCTATACCTGCCTACCCTGCCAACAGGGGAAACCAGGAATGTTGGGAGCCTTCCATACTTTTGAACAAGCCACTTGAAAATTAAAATCATTATTGAGGTGGCTAAATGATCGGGTGGTCAGACTTGGTGACTCGGCTGATTGTGCGTCATCATACCCTGACAGCATGGGACACTGAATATCGATCACTTACTGGCAGCTGTCATATGGCTGGAATATTGCTGAGTGTGGTCTTAAATAATAGACAGGCTGACAGTTCTGTTTGACCACCAACAGCCTCAAGTGACATCGCTGGTTTACTGCTAAACTTGGTGTAAAACAATTTTCATTCACTCTTCATACTAGCAGGACAAGCCTGAACACATCAAGCTTTTGGTATGGTGAAACCCATTCATGTTCTTCCTCAAGTGATATTTCTGGAGTTCTGCTAAACCTGGAGTTAACCTCTTTACTGTAGTATTTGCTGGTGTAAGCTGCCTCACTATATTATTATCTAGTACGCCTCCTTCAGCTATCAGCACACCATGATTAAAGTGAAACACGGTTGGCTGTGATCAGACTCAATTCAATCATATAATCCAGATGCTGTTGGTTGGAGCAATGCAAAATACAAGCACTAATTACTTTATATTACTGTTACACTGCAAAATATATATTGAACAATCTTTGCCGACAACTTTGGAGTTTACTAGTCCTAACTTGGCTCTTGGAATCAATATGACTACATCTGAGTGTCATCATATGGATTTTATTAGCTGAGATTTCTAGACTCAGGCTTTGGACTAGTGGCTAGTCACAGACTGTTTGACTACTGTATATCCAGTATGACCACATCATACTTCTATAAAGTTAAGCAGAAAGTCCTGCCACTATTATCAATTATTATTGAACTGATGGTGTCACAGTTTGCATGAAATTTTATAAAGTTAAGCAGAAAGTCCTGCCACTGTTATCATTTATTATTGAACTGATGGTGTCACAGTTTGCGTGAAATTTTCTTAATTTTAAAGTAGTTTCTATTCTGATAGAGCTTTATGAAGCCTATTTGTGAATGAATCATGAAAACCACAAAGTACTGCCGAGCTAATTCACAACACACACACACACATAACCCCCTGCTCATCAAACAGGGTTTTTTGCTACCTTTCAAACTTCTTTTAACTTTTCTTTATCTTTTTGGTATTGGACACAATCTGTTGTAGCAATACTTAAAATGAGAGGTCTCTATGAATACAATAATACCACTTCATGATAAAAAAGTTCAGTTCTAGAAGGTTTTTGCTGTAGTATCTGAAGCCAGAAATACAAGTATTTGTTTGCTGCTGCAGCTGATTTGGAGATTTTACGTGTGCTTTCTGACATTATGCATATTTCGCACACGGGCCTGCCAAACCATATAGTGAGATTGCCAAAGATGGAAGGAGGGGTTTGTCTGAAAGAAGAAGCAACCAGAGGGGGCGTTAAGGGTTGCATATTTAGATTTTGAAGAATTTTTGAATTAGGAATCATGCATTACCAGGTGCCATATAAGAAATTTAGAAATTGGCACTAGTCCTATAGTCCTTAGCAAACTGCCCAATGGTAAAGGTTTCATAAGGACTGGTAGAAATTTGCCCTTTTTAAGGGTTTTGCTATATGTTATTATTATAAGGACTAGTGGACGAAAACTGTTAGTTTCTAACCCTGTATACCACTGCATATTTGCTCTCATGTCTGTGGCAGTTTTACAGGTGCTTGTGCAGGAAGTGATAGTGGGCGTGAAACATGCTCGGGGCAACAAGTTTGACAAGCTTAACGAACAATGGCCATAGTGGTGTCACTCTGACACTTACACATACATTTATAGACGGCCTTTGCATCCAACGCAAGAAGCAGGGTGCTACTGATAGTCTGTACTGCATACTCAGTCACACACAGAGCTTTAAACTAAAGAAAGAATTTGTATGAAACATGCATGGTTACACAAAGCAAAGTAGGAAAATACTAGTCCATGGTTCTTTAGACGACCACAAATAGGGCTGGGATGAGTCCAAATTTACTCCCCGGGTACCCGACCCTCTATTACCCGACCCTAACCCGGTACCCACTGCAAGTCTCAAGAGTAGGGAACAAAATGTCTGATTCAGGTAACTGTTTTACAACAGCCCTGGCTTAAACTATTCAGATACATGTATCAAACAATCAGATCATGCGTTCACTGAAGTTGACTGAAGTTGACTGAAGCTTTATCTCTACTCAAACATTTACAAGTCAAAAGAAATGTGTGCATCGTCAGAAAGAAATGTGAACATTAGCGACTTTAGTGTAACCACTGAGCTATAGTGAGTTTTTGTCACTAAACAATATATCACGTGACTAACCACGGGTCCGGGTAGTCCTGTGGGTAGCCGGGTCCTACTCAGGACCCGTTTGACCCGAGTACCCGAGTTACCCGTCCCAGCCCTATAGTGGTCAATGCTACCATTTTGATCCTTGTTTTAGACTTGTGGTCAAATCTACCATTTTGATCCTTGCTTTAGATCAGGGGTTAACGCTACCATTTTGACCTTTGCTTTAGACAAGTGGTTAACGCTACCATTATGACCCTTGCTTTAGACAAGTGGTTAATGCTACCAATTTGACCTTTGCTTTAGATCAGCGGTTAACACTACCATTATGACCTTTGCTTTAGACAAGTGGTTAACGCTACCATTATGACCTTTGCATTAGATCAGTGGTTAACACTACCATTATGACCTTTGCTTTAGATCAGTGGTTAACACTACTATTTTGGTCCTTGCTTTAGATCAGCGGTTAACACTTCCATTTTGATCCTTGCTTTAGATCAGTGGTTAACGCTAAAATTATGACCCTTGCTTTAGATCAGCAGTTAACACTACTATTTTGGTCCTTGCTTTAGATCAGCGGTTAACACTACTATTTTGGTCCTTGCTTTAGATCAGCGGTTAACACTACTATTTTGGTCCTTGCTTTAGATCAGCGGTTAACACTACTATTTTGGTCCTTGCTTTAGATCAGCGGTTAACACTAC